TAGTTATCTTCTATAACATCATAATTTCATAGCTTTTTCCAATGGATGGTTTTCGATTTATTTTTTTATTGCGTGACAGTGAAAACGATCTATTGAAAGCGTCATCAGCGGAAATGACAGTGTAACTGATCGATCAAAATGTGATTATTATTCTCAACAGGAGAAAGAACTGAGGAGATTCAGGGACAACCTCAGAGAAGAACAGAAGTCTGCTAAGAAAGAGGTTTGACAAATAGCTTCACGTCAGTGGACCATTTTGAAGATGTCACGCTTTTCCGATTTTCCATTCAAATTTATCAGTTCTGCCTAACTTAGTACATATGCGAAGTTTCATAAGAACCGTTGCAAAGTCTTTGAAATATTAGACCATAAAGCTGCCTATTTTACTTCGAAATGTATGCCAGCAGACAACGCTTGGCCCCTGGCGTACTCTTCTTGAATATTTGCTAAGTTGATCTCTGGAGCTGACTTTTGTTTATGTGAAAAATACAAAAAATTGTTGTTGATATTGCGTGACATCGTCAAAAAGGTCCATAGACTTGCCATGCGCGGTTGAGTCTAGTCTAACTGTAGCTTTTCTAAACAAAGGATTATGTTGTGTTTTAGGTGGATCAAATGCCAAGAAATCAAAGAAAAGAAAGTTGGAGAAAGAAGAAAGAAGAGATGGAAGTCTCACAACGGCAAGCTGTGAGTACATCGAGTACACTGTAGAAAGATTTTCCAACGATTGGAGAATTGACTGGACTTCATTTTCCCTCTATTTGATATCGAAAATTGCACGTAATACAGTAAACTTTCACATATAAGAGCCTATGATTTCGGGGTTCAGGCTGATCAAGTTCTTATTTACTGAGCACTTAGTGAGAAATCAGCCTGAAAATGTTCTTAAAATGTTCTTAAAATTTGGTTGAGAAATACCATAATTTATACATTACTGGAGGTATAATTAACATGCAATGTTTTATTACGTAGAAATACAATAAAGAATAAATTTCAAATAAAAAAAAAATAAATAGAGACTATTACTAATAAAATACCGTACTACTTTAACATGAGTGCTCTCTTATTCTGGCATCCTCCTACTTTTTATATAAGAACATGTATTATTTATTAGGCTGAATTGGTTCTTATATGTATATGGTGCTTTATGGGCCAACTTTCAGCCTTGATGTCCTTAATCCACTTGTTCTTATGTGTGGGTGTTTAGTGTAGTTGTTGACAAGTGACCCTCTCGCTTGTCGAGGCTCTAATCGTTGTCCAATCTATTTGGTAGGAACATGAGTTCTTAGCCATGCAGCGGGTGGAGTTTGAGAAATTTTGCAAAGAGCTGATTGAGTTGCACCGTGAACGGATGTACAACCTAGAAATGCAGTTCCTAAAGGCCAAACACAGCCTCAAGAGAGGTACGTTTCTCTTCAGAAATTGTTAGTTACTAAAAGGAGCTTAAAGATTTAGATTTGTCCGTCTCCTCAATTTTACCCAACTTTATTTTATTCTTGTTATTACTTGCTTTGGTGTTTGGAGTGGTTTTCAATGTACTGTCGTAAAACCAAAACCGAAATAATCACTTCAGCCAATCAAAACGCTCACAGGCAATACAATAAACCAATCAAAGCTTGAAGCAATTACATGTATGTGACGCGAAACGTGGGAAAACGTGTGCAAGCGAGCTACTATTGTGATTGGCTGGCGCGAGTTTTTTTAAGCCAATCATGGTGTTCCTACGGTTTGAGATTGGCTGAGTAACCAAAACCAAACCAATCACAGTCAAACCTCTCTACAACGGCTACCCTTAGGACGCGCTTTAGTGGCAGTTGCCATTGTGGAGAGGTGGCTGTTGTAGAGAGGTTAAAGGAGGTCACTCCAGAAAGCTTACTTTTTTGGTCTTCGCCTATAGCAAGTAAACAGTAAGCTTTTCCACTCACCGAAGTTTCATCTCTGAAGTGCCCACTATTCTGAAGAAATTCGTCTTGAAGAAGCGACGTCGGAGGCCACCATTTTGAAACTGTGTTGGCAGCCAGGCCGTGTTTATGTGACGTCATTCCATCCGACTCGAAATTGGCGGAAAGGAGAAAAACCTGCAACTTACTTAGTATCCTTCTCAAGGTCAGCAAAATCTATTTTTTTCCACGCGATTATCCATTTCACTATCTTCAATGCTATCATTTCGGAGTTTGGAGCATGTTTGGCTCAAAATATGGCTCAAGATCAACCATAACCCAGAGTGGTAGTGAAAAGGCCCTTCGGAACCATTTGGACTAAATCTCTTGGACGGAATGACGTCACGAAAACGCAGTCTGGCTGCTAAATACTGTTCAAAATGGCGGCAACGAAGTTCGAATTTTGGGCTTCTTTGGAGACGAATTTCATAAGGAAAATCTGCACCTCAGAGGCTGAAACTTTGGTGAGTGGCTAAACTTAATGCAAGGTTTTTATTAGCGCTGACAAAAAATATACGTTTTTTAGAGTGAATGTCTGGACCGTCCGCTGGGACGAAAAAAAGGGGTCGTTGTAGTGAGGTGGCCGTTGTAGGGAGGTTGCCGTTAATAGAGGTTCGACTGTACTAACCAATTAGGCTACTTAGCCAATCTCAAACATTAGTAAAACCAAGACCAAAGTCTTGGCTGATTACTTTCGACACTCAATTGAAAACCGCTCTTAAAGTGCTACATTACTCTCAGAAAATGACTGTATGTTCCGTGACAGAGATCGCGCCTTTAATCATGTTATCAGACTTCGATGTGCAATGGGAATGTTGTTTGCTTGTTTGCAGGTCACGAGGCAGAACTGTGGGAGATAGAACAGCGGCAGCTACACGAGAGACACCAGTTAGCCAGAACACAACTCAAAGAGACTTTCTTTTTACAAAGATCACAGATGCTGAACAGACATAAAAAGGTCAGTGTTGCCACGCACACAGACAGCAATTTAGGCTTACTGAAGAGGTCTTGAATGATTTTCCAAAGTGTTAATGTACTTACTCTTTATTACTGACTGCCACCAGTCGTAAGGCAAAATGTAATTGCGACTATTCCTGTATGTGTAACACACATTGAATTTTGGACTGCGCGATCTGGTTTCGAGTGCTGGCCGTGGTCATTGTGTTGTGTGTTTGGGCAAGACACTTTACTCTCACATTGTTTCTCTCAACCAAGGGGCCGGAAACCTTTCGGGCCCGAAAAGCCATTTTTAGTTAATCGGTATTTAAAGAGAGGTGTATCCGCCTGAAACTTCTTCAACGGAATGGAACTTCTGTTTATATTAACAATACGCGAATGAAACAGCTGTGTAATCATAAGGTTTGAGATTTTGCTTCGGCTTTCCGGGTGCGAAAACTTTTCGAGACCTTCGAGAAACAGGCCCCTGGTGTCTAAATGGCTCCTAGCGAAATGTCACAGGGCAACGTGACAAATGCTGAGGACAACCTGCGATAGACCAGCACCCCATTCATTGAGAACACAAATGCCCTTATTGTCTTCATGCCACAATATTGTGACAAGTTCCAGATTAAAACAGAAACCAGTCATAACTTGACAGTTATACCCTTATACCCCTTACACCCTTATACCCTTATACCCTTATACCCCTTATANCCCTTATACCCCTTATACCCTTTATTCCCATTATATCCTTCATACCCTTATACCCTTATACCCCTTATACCCCTCATACCCCTTATACCCTTATACCCTTATACCCCTTATACCCCTTATTCCCATTATACCCTTTATACCCTGATACCCTTATACTCTTATTCCCCTTATACCCTTATACCCCTTATTCCCATTATACCCTTTATACCCTTATACCCTTATACCCCTTATACCCCTCATACCCCTTATATCCTTATACCTTTATACCCCTTATACCCTTATACCCCTTATACCCTTATACCCCTTATACCCTGATACCCTTATACCCTTATAGCCTTATATCCTTATACCCCTTATAGCTGGTTTTCACGTGACATCACTAAAATTCAAACTACAAAACTATTGATCTTCCTGAGATTTTACTTTAATGATGTATAAGAGCAGTTGAAAACTAATATGCATACAAATTTTCACTCCGAATGGGTTTTTGGTTTTGTGATACACTACGCTTGAATTTCTAAGCCTTTGCGTGACGCGGCATTTACATGACAGCCTAGAGAGTTGTCATGATGGTTAAAAACGTGACTTATTTCGGCGAATTTTGCTATCTGAACAGTTCATGTCTTAGAAAAAGTATTATTTTGATGGATACACCAATTATTGAATTTGTTTGATCATAAATAGTATTCTTTGTCAGTCATGACCTGATCACTTTGCTGAACGCTTTATTTCGAAAATTTGATTGGTATTAGACCATATTAGTGTCATGGAAAATCTCTGCCCGCAGACCCCTCCCCTAAATTTCTACAAGTCACTCCACCCCATGTCTTCCCTAACCTCCCCAACCTCACCAACCCCCCGGATTGACCATAGCAAATTTTATCCTGGGGTCCTAAAAAAGTGGCTTGGGCTCCTAATTTTTGAAGTTAGAAGACCAAAGGACTCCTTAAAAATTTCCTCAGGCAACAGCCTTGTGACTGGTTGCGTTATCCCGCGCTTGGGACCCTTTGGGGGTTTTCCCGCAACGGAACTAGTTGGAGGGTTTCCCGCACTCGGAACCATTTGGTGGTTTTCCCGCGCTTGGGACCAGTTGGAGGTTTTCAGGCGTATGGGACCAGTTGGACTTTTTCGCGCGCTTGGGACCAGTTGGACGGTTTTCCGCGCTTGGCGTCGGTCTCACGTTGTCGATTCGAGTTCTGATTGGTTCGTTGTGGTATTTGTGATTGGCTAAGAGTAAATACTTTGATAAGAAAAAGCTCCAGCAAACACTAGCACCGGGTTGTCCTTGAGCCGTGTCGTGTTTTAATTTCCTGCATTTGCACTTTTGTAAGTTGAGTCGTTATTTTCTTTCAGGAAGAAGAACAGCACACTCGTCTTACCAAGCTTAAGGAAGAAGAAATGAAAAGACGTCACGATATCGAGAAAAAACGGCTCCCCAAGATACAAAGGGACGAAATCAAGAGCAAGACACAACAATACCGCAAATCACTAAGGATAGAGAAGAGAATGTCCGTCGATATTGAACGAGAAATGATGAAAGAGGTAACTTGAAAAACTTGGTTTTTGTTGTTGTTGCTTTAACCTGAAGTATAAATATAGATGGCTTGAGTTAGACTGAACAAAAAAAATCAAGGAGCAAAAGTAGATGTAGCCTCCTGCGCAGACATTCTTAGGGCTCGTCACGCAATCTTCCTCCCCCTCGAGGAAGATTGCGTGACGAGCCCAAAGAGCGTCTGCGCAGGAGGCTAAAGTAGTTGCTGCGGAAGCGAGCCTGGCAGTGCTCAGCAAGGACGAGACAGCTGACCATGGCTGCTCACTCTCGGGAGTTCTTCAGTACTAATTTAATATGAGGTGTGGGTTTGACGTGCTACCACAACTGATTTTGCGTATGATTTTTGCCTGGGACCGCCGGCTCCAAGACGAATGGAGTAGTAAACGGAAAGCACAGAGAATAATTACTGCTACTTACCGTGATCTTGAGACGTGGGGCTAACGTATCGTTCAAGTTTTAAAACATACGTCCTCTAGTAAGGCCCCGCCCACACTGATGCGTTGACGGTTGAAAAACACGTACTATTTGAGGCGTTTCCGTCTTCCGTCCACACTAATCAGGCGTTTCCCACTACTCCGTGTTTGCCAAACACGGAGCGTTTGAAAACTCTCTCCAGAGTGAATACTTTCGCCGTTTTCCTGTTGCAGTGCAGGCGAAAGCGAGTGTGCTATTCGAAAATGCTGACAACACGACGATCACTGTAACGTTGGCTTAAGAATACTGCCCATGCTTCATTCGCACCCGCTTATTGCCTGTTTTCGTGTGGACAGCATAAACGATTCAAAAACGAAAGTGCGGACCAAACACTTCTTAGTTCTGGATACCATCACACCCTTTTGGAAAACAAAAACGGATAATCGCTGAAAGGTCCAAATCATCAGCGATTTTCTTTTGAAAAAAATAATATTCAAAAAAAAAAAAAAGAAAAGAAAAACTGTGTTTTATTTGGAGCACTAAGACGTGAAAACGTTCGTGTTTTTGGTGTTACTGTGGTGTTCAAGAATTTAACTTTTGTTTTTCAGTTTGAACTGATGGAACGTAAAAGAGCTCGTACAGAGTTCGAGAAAATGCTGTTCCGTCAGGAAATGGAGGCTGAGGAGCTTCGCATCTCCTCTGAATCGGCCCTCAAGGAGTTACAACAACTACAGGTCAGTTGCTCATAACTCTGTTACTTTTCTCTGTTTTATGCAGTTGTGGTGCATTTGCGCTCAGGTGAATGACGACCACTCAGAGACTAAAAGCGAACAAACTGTGGCGTTTACAGAAATATCTCTCAAGGCGGTGCATTGAGACTCTTGTGCATGCTTTTCTGCCCGCTAGGATTGACTATTGCAACAGCCTTTCGTATGCTCTTCCTGACTAACGTCTAAATAAGCTACTGAGAATACAGAATGCAGTCGCCAGACAGTAGATATTCCCAGCAAAGTAGATATTGCCATATAACACCACTCCTATTTAATTTGCACTGGCTCGCAGTGAAATTTCGAATTGAGTTTAAAATTCTTTTAGTTACATTTAAAAGGTTCTTAAAGGTTTGGCACCTAATTATATATCATATTTAATTGCTATTAAATCACCTTCACGGTATGATCTAAGGAGCTCTCATGACAGCTTCCTTCTTAGTTGCCCTAGGTCATTATCTAAGGTAACTCTTGGTGATCGCTCCTTCACATATGTCGTGCCAAAGCTTTGGAATACTCTTCTCCTGGACATCAGGTCTGAGGACACTGTTCCCGGCTTTAAAAGCAAACTTAAGATATACTTTATTGTAAAGCGTTTTCATAAAATCCGATTAACTTTGTAAATATATGAGAATTTTAGCTTTTAATTTAATTTAATTTTATATTATTTTATTTATTTTTCCCCGCTTTGATAACCACCACTTTTGTGATTTAGATTAGTTAGCTCTAACTGTAATTTTAGGGCTTGTGACTTTTAGTTTTAGATAATTTGAGTTTTAATGCGCATTTGAACATATCCATACAGAATTTGCGTACTTATTATCATTATCATTGTCATTGTCATTGTCATTGTCATTGTCATTGTCATTGTCATTGTCATTGTCNTGTCATTGTCATTGTCATTATCATTATTTGTGAGGTTGTTTATGTTTCGTTTGGTAGAACGAAAAGCGCCATATGTTAATGGAAAGCGAGACGACGAAGTTAAAAGAACGAGACGAGAAACATCAAACGCAGTTAGAGGCCTGGAAAGCCGAACTTGCACCAAGAAAGAAGGTAAGGCACCCACGCATGGCGAGTCTCGTGCTTCAACTTATTTCGTGTGTCTGAGATTTGCAAGACAAAAGTAGGTAAAATACCAATCTGCAAACGAGATTTGGGGAAATCACGGGTACTAAATGTATTTTTGCTGGTTAAGAGATGCATATGAGATGGGAAAATGTCAGGGCTAAAAACGCCTTGACCATATTTGAGTTTCCCTGAGCTTCCCTGAGCTTCCCTGAGCTTCCCTGTGCCTCTGTGAGACGCCTGAGGCAAATTAAACTCCTTTCATATGCAAGGCCATTTGTCAGTAGAATGTGATATTTCTTACCTTGTCAAATTTACTATTTCCTCTTCTCTCACTAGACGCTTGAAGAGGAATTCGCGCGTGAGGAACGCGAACAGCAGTTGTTTTACGCGCGAAATTCGACCGATTACCCAGTCTCTCCGGGAACGCCGACTAAGGAATCAGAAGAAGAACCTGGGGAGATTCAGGTAGATGGAGAGAAAACTCCAGAGGACAATATATCAAGTAAATCATCATCTGGATCCATGGAAGTTTAGTTCTGAGCTTTGTAGTTCTTGTACAGTTTCTATTCTGTATGATTGTGGATTTTACAGTCAATTGAAACTAAGCGATATCATGACCGGTGGCTAACTCAGAACCCAGTTTACCCGGGAAGGCGGAGAAATCAAAGTAGCTAATAAATTGTTGATCGTTGTATTGGCTAATTGCTTAGAAAACTAACACAGATGTCAAAAAGTATAGAACATAAATAAATAACGACTGGGAAAGGACCTGTGCGTTTGGCTGAGGAGCAAGTACCTATCGTTCGGTATCCCGCGCGCCTTCATTCAGCGGTTTTTGTCGCAGACGTTGCTAGGCAACATGACGTAACCTGCAGGATAACATTCGGTCAACCTCGTTCTCAGGCTCTCTTTCTCCTTTGCCTCAGGGAGGCAGAGAAGAGAGAGCCTCGGATCGAGGTTGAAATTCGGTGTACTCGCAAATTCCAAGTTGAGTTTTATTGGCTATTGAGATTCGGAAACTGTTCGGGTATTCGCTCCACTGACTGCCTTTTCCAGCAGTTATTTATAAGTAGTATGCAATTGAGAAATCAAGCACGGAGGGTGTAAATTTCTATATTGAGCTCGGGGTTTGGGGAATTACAAAGGTAACGCTAATGATAGTTAAAAGATAGGAAAATATATGGATTAATGCTTAGCTGTAAGTCTGGATACTTAATTACATTATATAATGGGGCAGTAAGCCAATCAGAATACACGAGAGAAACTCGCACGCGGTAAAGATAGTGGGGAATCAGCTGATTGGCTAAACAGATGATATCTGAGCTCTGATTTGTTGGGGCGTTCTAAAATATTGAATGAATTTCTTCTCCCCCTGCGTGAACATTATTTTTCATTCGTAAGGCAATCCCATCCTTTCCAACTACAAGTCGATAGAAAAATCTGTGTAGAAGTCTAAACTACCCGCCATTTGATTGATTACATACATTTGAGCCAAGACTCAAAAGAACATTTTCGCAAAGTTATTGATTGTATGATAGACAGAGGGAATTTTCACTAAAATTTAAGTTTTCGCTATTTATGATTTTGTTTCATTGTGATTTTCTCGTACGTTCATAGAGCTTCGACTGTACCTTGCTGATTCGTTTTGTTCCTACATTTTCATAATTTCTTTCTCTCTATTCCGTGGAAGATTTTCCTTTCACTTTTAGAGGTGTAAGTGCTGCGATATAATTGAAGGGTGGTGAGTTTCGTCGCTTTGCGCATGTCACTAACCGGCAGGTTATAAGCAGACATAACCAGTCTTAGTGTATCCTGTTCTTAACTGGCATGTGTAGGTATGTCTTACGTTCATCATTTCGGTGTTTCTCAACCTTGGTGAACTTACTGCCGGGTTTTTTTCTTCAATTTGAAGATAATTTTATTTCTCACGTAAAAGCCCGAGACAGCAAGTCCAAAATTTTTGCTTTTAATAACGAAGAAAACATCCTTCTTACTTTGTTTTCTGTAAGCTTAAGATAACAGGCCTGTTCTCTATTGAGTGCCCCGAAAGATGGAGGTCTGTTTTCTTAATATGCCTACTATTAAATGTGTCCACGATTTGGCGCAAGTATTTACTATTTAGGGATCTCTATTCCCGTCTAACGATTATTTTGTCCAGTGCTAGCAGTAGTTGTTGAGACGAATACTGGAAACAGCAGAGCAGCGCTCTCGTAGACTATCTCCTAAAACTGGATTGGGGAGGTCAATAAAGAACATAGATTTTTAACTGAATCAAATAAACAGATTAATACTTACTTGTGTGCTCTGTTTTATTTCTTTATACTAGTATACGTATGTTAAAATCTTTCACTCTGTTAAGTACTTCTGATATTTGTATTATACGACCGAAAAAATTACTTTATTGTGATTGGCCGAGAGCAGGCAAATTAGTCGTTAATTTTAATTTGCACTGCAGTGCAAGCTACTGGGCGCGAGTTCGTAATTTTCCCAGTCATATAATAAACGAGTAATCATATGAAAGCTCGAGCAATTAAGGATTTTCACTAATTGTGATATTTGAAAATTCTTTCAAATTACTCTCGCCAAAAGGCTCGTGTAATTTTAAGAGACATTTCAAATATCACTCGTAGTGTAAATCCAATTAAAATTGCGCTCGCATTCGTCTGATCACATGTAGTTAGAAGAGAAATCTTTTCCAGCAAACTGCTTTTCACTTAATTGATGGTTATCAACCAATCCGGAGAGATTCAAATGATAAAGGCGTGGCGGCTATCATTGTATATTGGAAGACACAAGTAAAAGAATCTAGTAGGAGATCTTTTGTTAATTCCATCCATTATGACGGCGATGAAGTCAGGTGAAAACCAAGAATTCGGCACTTCAGTCGCTTAAATAATGTTTTAGTTTAGTTTACAAGACAGATAAATTCAAATAGACAAACAAATAATAAAAAAAAAATCAAAATAGTACGGAATGTGACGGGGGAAAGAAACAAAACTAGCGTCCCAATTTCGATCTAACCCCCAACTACAGTCAACATACACTTAATAAATACACTAGAAGTAAATACACGCAAATAAAAATGTCATAAATATGAAAATCATTGTATAAGACCTTATTAGTTTCTAGCCTGGAGGACTGTAAGTTCCTCGCTTTGATATCTATAAATATCAATTAAAGCTGGCCTGGTCTACAACGTAGTAAATGGATTAATTGCTTTAGTACTGGATGGCAACGAGTTCCACAGTTGAGCAGTTCAGCAACCCTAATAATAAAGTAAGCTCCCAGTTTAACGATTCTAAGCTCAGTCAAGTTTTCACTTAAGAAATCGACTTTTCAGTTAAGAATTTTAACTTTTGGAAATCGATTTTCGAATTTGAATTTTCACTTTTAATGGCCACTCTCAGCCACCGTACAGATCATGGTCCCAGCCACCTTTCTCTCTCTTACTGTTCCTGCTCGTAAGGGTGTCCGGGTTTTATACCAGCTGCTCGAATGAGAGCGTCAAAGGGTCTCTCTGATATATCTCGAGTAAGTTGGTGCGAGCCGCGAAAGACTTGAAGAATTATATGCCCTCTTGTAGTTGTTCAGACTGTAATCTTTATTCCACAAATCCTTTTGATTCGTGCATATGTGGGCGTTGCAGGCTAAGAAAAGAATGAGACTGCTTGCAGTCTAGTAGTGGTTGTTTTTTCCCAGTGGTTCGGGCGTCTTTCGTAAGGCGTGTTTACCCGCGAGATCCCTCCGCGCGCCAACTGGCCACTTCTGCAGTGCATGGTGGGATATTAAAAACCGTGGTGAACTGGGCCCTGTTGTGAAAAAATGGCGGGCAAAACGTCGTCTCATGATAGCACGTTGTTGGAAATTACCTCAGAGTGGTTTTTGGATTATTGTATTTATCAGCTATGGAAGGAATTCAAAGAGAAACGATCGTTTTCTGCCTGTTGGAGAGATGCTATACAAGGTAAAGTTATGGGGACGACACAGTACAGTGTTTCAAACGCGAAATTGCTCGTCGTTGTTTACTCCTTCTCCTTTTCGTGCTATTTCTTACAGATTTTTTGGAAAATGGACGATTTGATATAGGAAAAGAACTTTCAAATAAACTCAGTTGCATCAGATTTATTGTTGGGTTGCTGGAGCATCGGGAAGACGTGGCTGTTTGTTCAAGTCAGGAAAGTTCATCTGATAAGGAAGATTGCAGCGAACAGAGCAAAAGGCTTCTGAAACCAGACTGTCTGAAGTTTTTCGACAAGGTAGCGGCAATATATCCATTTTCTGACGTGGAGAAGTCGCATATGAGAAACACATTAAAGTTACAGGTAACCTTGGATCCAATATCAACTGATCACTTCTAAACAAAATGCTTTGAAAAATAACTCACAGCATTGGGTGATTGGTTGAAAACGACAGAAAACTCCCACAAAGTGTTTTTTAGTTTATTAGAAAAGTCAAAGCATTTTTAGACGAGGGTCAAGAAGACTCAAGATGTTGCTAATGTATGGTTTACCTTGACTACCTGCTGTTACTTTCCCTGTCCCCAGGGATTTGCCTTATTTTTTTACTTGGCATCCTATTTTCCACCCCAGGCAGCAACAAAACAAGTAATTTTCCATCCCTAGAACTCTTGAGCTGTTTTACAAGGTCCTGGAAGGGGTGAAAACATCTCTCCCACTGGCCTCCTCCCGCTGACAGTTTTCTATGCACACTGATTAAGTATTCCACCCGACAATATACCTTCTACTGAGAGGCAACATTCCCTAGCAAAGTTCAGTCACCAAGTTTGTCCTATATCTCCTTTGCACAACTATATACTTGAACTATTGCTACTCTCTGGACTAAACTACTGTCAAAACTGTTACAAACTACTCGGATTACGTGTACTAAAGGCATCCACGGTCAGGTGTCAATCAATACCCTTGATCAACCCTCATCTTGATCAACACTCAATCAACATCTCCATCAATAATCAGTCAACACAATCAATATCAGTTGACATTCAGTTCATAGTCGACTAACTTTCACAGACATGCCATCAAGTGTTGATCGATATATAAGAGTCAGTCAATGCTCTGCTAACTATTGACCAATTGTCGACTGAGTGTCCATCAAGATGTTGATCAAGTGTCAAACTAGTGTTGACTGAGTGTGAATTGAGACGTTGATTGAATGTTGATTGAATGTCGATCAAGATGTCGATGGAGTCAGCTGAGGGTCAATCAAGGTTATTGATTGACACTTGACTGCAGAAGCATTAAGTACACATGATCCAACTACTCGACCATCATGGTGCAAGAGCTGATTTTGTCCTGCTGGTTACTGTGGAGGGATGATAGTTACAGCTGGAACTGAACCATACATAAGTTTACCCAGTTCATCTTGTTTAAGAAAATGTGCAGTTTCGGTTCCAGAAATATCAATACTTACTGCGTAGGTCATAAAAATTTCCAGAAAGTTGGGTGGTCTGAAAAGCCCGTAAAAATTTACAGGACGTGTAACAGTATGATAGGCATACTGAACAGATATACACAGTTGCAACATTCAAAGGTAAAAATTAAATAAATTTATCCATTTTTACAAGGCAAGTCCCTGGTATCTCCATCATCATTGCTAATAAAAGCTCCCTAATAAGTTCATGTGTGTGTCTTTTTTACCAAGTTTAACTGTACACCATATTTTTTTATTATAATTATTTTTCAACAGATCATTCTGTCACATTACAGATGTGGAGATACTAAAGGTGCTGAAAAGTTTTACTCACTGCTGTACACTGAAAAAGGAGATGATGAGGTATTAACCAAGGTTCTTGTTCTAAGAAACCTTCATGCATCATGCCATCATCACAAAATTAATATTCATGTCTGCAACTAAAAACAGTTAACAGGCATCTTCATATAAATGAGTTCAAAAAATTATTGTTCAACTTTATGTAGTCCACATAGATTGATTCGCCAAAGATGATAATCTTTTGTGACAACAATATGCGATTTGCGTGATGGCGCCACTTGACTGCAACTACCAGAATCCTTCACTTTTTCTGTTTCTTAAATGCTAATTAGGGCAATTGTTATTTAAACCTCACTGGGAATTCAAAATTTAAACAATAAAGAAAAAATGAAAGGAATTCTGGTAGTTGTAGTCAAATGATGACATTGTGCAAATCTGTTATTGAAAGTATTCTCAGTGTAAGTAATATTGGAATCTTGAAAACTCTTTACTCAGTCAGAACAAAGAAATACAGGTGTTTCATGAACGTTTTCAGCAGAGGGGTAACTGGTTTTCACAAGTGGAAAAAACTATTTCAACCGAACTTCTTTGATAGAAAAACTTTCCACTTGATGGTCAAACCAACTAGGCAAAATTATCCTCACAGCCACGGGTAAATTTGCCTGTTGCTAAGCCCTCAATGAAATCGCTGAAATATCAATAGCATCTTACTATTAATAACTTAAAGATAGGAGATTTGCATATTTGTTTTTCAACAGGAGTATCAGAATGATCTCCAGGAGTTATTTCAGTCTGAAAATGGTACATTCAAGGAAAAGTTTTTAAGGAAACACACATATGACAAACTTCTAAACCAAGTTCAGAAATTTTTTACACCAGCATGGAAAAAGTTTGAAATTCCGATCTTAGAAGAGGTAAATGGAAAAACCATTATTGTAATATGGATCTATTCTTATTGTAATTAACATAGACATTTTCTCAACAATGCAATAGGTATGATTAGGTACATGTATTTTGGATAGTTTATAGCTGTGTTTCTTGTGTTCCATGTCCTGTTATATTATTCTCAGTCTTGATGATGCATGTATAATTTATATATTTAACTAATAACTGCCAGTCAAAACCTGTCTAAGAAGAGATATTATTTTTTCTGAGCTAGGGATAGCGGACTAATGGTTGTTTTTTTTTTTGACTCTTGAATGGAGTTCTGGGCTCCAGACTGGGGAGGTCAAGGCTACTTTCATTGCACCTTTGTACCTTATTCATCGGGGTCCTTGACCAAAGTACTGCTAGGATAACCTGCAGTAAATTAGTATTTTAATTTAGGGAGATCTGCTATATCCCTTGCCACTTCATGCCACAGTCTACTGGTGAGCCACAGGTCTCCAATTACTAGGACTGGGACATAACTGAATCTAACATGACTTTTTTACAAACATCTTATATTTTGATATGTTTATGTCCACCAGGCTCCTTTTCTGGAGGATTCAAATAGAGAAAGGTAAAGGAGACTGTCATGTCAGTACTCCAGTGATAGCTCAATTTGATATCCTTCAAAGAACAGTATTATTATTAGCTCATGATAGAAAACTGGTTCATGTACTGTGTTTCTATCAAGTTACAGAAACATGAGTGGGAGTTTGGGAGAATGAGAACTGCTGTGGGGACACAAGCCAACAGGCAAGTGGTTCCACAGCTTTGTTCAGTTCTCTCAAACTTCCATGTGTGTTCTATAACTTTATAGAAATGCAGCAAAAATGTTTTCTATTTCTTTTAGAAAATTCCACAACAAAAAAAAGCAAACAACTTGTTTACTTTGATCATCAAAATGTAAATTCTCTTTGTTTGCACCATCATTATGTCAACAGCTCGTGCTGGTTCTGTGTTTCTTTTGAGTTATGGAAACATGATTTTAAACCAATCAGTGCACATATCTTCTTTGGGCTATTTTGTAACATCATATATAACATAAACAGTACCTTTATACTCAATACAACTCATATAGTGTTCATAGAAAGTAACTAAATGTATTGTTATGTAATTTTCATCAAGTAATTTCCAAGTAATGTAAGGAGGTAGCACACTGCGAGTTTTGCATTGTAACTTAATGTATTTTTAAGTAAGGTAATGTAAGTAATGTATGTAGCTGAATGGTAGTAAGTACTGTGTTGTAAAATTTATTGAAATTAATGTATTGTTACTTAAGAAAGAGAAAACATGTATTGTGTTTCTATCGAGTTTTAGTGTAAATCTACTAGCGTTCTATCACAAATGCCATTCACTGATTGGCCACTCTACTCACTATCTATTCTGTTGTAGACAGCGAGTAGTGTAGCAGCATGCACTGGGAGCTGCTTCTTTGTGTTTTGGAGGCGTCTTTGAAGAGAGTTTAGATTAAAGTTTTGAACAACTATTAGATACATGTGCCCTCGCCAACTATCACATGAGTGTTTCCACAGCTTTTTAGAGTTCTTCCAAACTTTCACAAGTGTTTCTATGACTCGATAGAAACACGGAGAATATGTTTTCTATTTCTTTTAGAAAATACCATGACGGAAAAAAGAAAAACAACTTGTTTAGTTTGATGATCAAAATGTAAATTCTCAAGGTCAAGATGGCTGGATATTGGCCAAGTCCTTTTTTTGCGTATTTATGGACCGAGATGAAGTCAAGGTTTATAAACTCACAAAAAAGACAGAGTCCAATATCCAGCCATCTTGACCAAACAAGCTTGGTCAGTAAAGGATTTTTCAAATGGCTTTTGAAGAAATTTTTCTTGTGGGATGCAGCAGGTAGTCCAGAGCAGACAAGATAGTGCTATCTTGCCTACTCGGGTAGCCAATCACTGCGCAGAATTTTGGTTCATCTTGCCTGCTGACAAAGCTAGCTATATAATAAATCTTCATACTGGATGACGTGATCAGATAGAAGTTAACAGTTAACTATGCTTAACAAAGTACAGCTTGAAGACTTAAAGCATAATGATTACCTGTAATGATTTCACAAACAATGGATTGAAACTGGTGTTTACCCATTGAAGTTTAATTGCAGACCCAGGATAGATGCAAGAACCTTAAGAGCCCTTTACTTTGCATGGGATAAGTCAGGTGAGGCAGAGCAAAACTGGACAAGCATTGTTGAAGAAACTCATCCTGATGTTAAAGCTCTGAAGAAAAAGGTCAGCAAGAAGAATGGCAGAGATACCACCAGCAACCCAGCAGAAAGAAGTCCTGTGACGAGGCTGCGACAACAGGTACAATAATACATGACTGTAGCGATACTCTTTGGAATAATCAAATGTGGGGCTTTCAATGTTTTTTTTATGTAAAAGATAATATTTAGTTATCATAGTTCAATCTGTTTCTGACTCAAACATCTCATATGAAACTGTCATGTTATACTTTTAATTTAAAATGCAGGTCCTGGTTGTTTGTACGTGGGTTAATCAGGTACATGTAAGTTGGGTGAAACAAAAAAGTAGACCCTGCCCAGGTTTTTTTATCATAGTAATGACAGCTAAATATAATTCAAAAATTAGTAAGAAATTACATTCTGGGACTGTGTCCACTTATCATAGACTGAGGTAATACAGATGTCTGGGATCAAGACAACTTAATACAGTTTTCACAGGGTACGTTATATTTTCTGGCTTCCAAAAGGTTACTAAAAGCAGAGCAGAAACAAGTAGTACTGCAATGACCAGTGTATCAGAGGGTATCCAGCGGTGTGAAGAAGTTATGCAGAATTTGAAGACTTCATCTTCAAAACTCTTGTAAGGGCCTTTTCTTTGTTTTCCACAAATTTTTGTTATGATTTTGTTGCGCCATACTTGATGTTGGATGGAGATTAAGATGACATGTTGCTGATTGTTGCCATGGCTAATTCTTAAAACTTTTGATCGTTATGTTAAACAATGCAAAATATGATTGTTGGCTTAATGGTTTTCATTCATTGGGTTCTGGATTCAATCACCTACTGACAATTTGCTGCGACAAGTGTAAATGCTGGGTTGAGCTTACATGCCATCCAGGGATACTTGCACTAACTTGCACAGCCATCAGTTATTCAGTGGACTTGAGACAAAATCCGATAGGAGATAGAGCAATCTCAGTTTTTAGTGGACAAAATCCTGGTAAGAGAATGATTTTAGGTATTTTACAGTGACTGTCCTTTTTACATTTTCTTAAAGCTAAAGATATATTAAATACCGGTAGTTTCCTGAAATAACACCAAAACTAATTTCCCATGGGAACTTGAGAAAATAAATTTCAAAGTTTAGATAAATTGTGCAAACACAGAACAGTAAAATTTCATCATTAGTTTCATTTCACCAGTACTTTCAAGTGTTTCATATGAAGTTCAAAATTTGTTTTTGACATTTGGTGTTGTTAGAAATGATATTTTTTGAGAAGATATTTCAAACAGTTGCACAGAAGTTTGCATTTGTGATTTAAATAATCTCGGTACAAAGTTTTCGTCCACTTGTTACTTGAACTTCTGGTGGATTCCTTCTTAAAGTGGTTCACATTTGCTGCTCAGGTGTGCAAGGTAGGGCATGTTTGAAGGAGTCAAGGTATCTCTTAATTGATCCATACAAGCCCTCCTCCATGTGTAGCCAAAAAAGATCTACTTAGTGAATCATACAAGTACAGTGAAGACTAAGGCCCAGTTCAGACGTCGTGCTTCTTTTCTTTTTTTTTTTTATTGCAATATCTTACATTACATTACATACCAAAATTACCTACTACTTACAATGTCAACGTAACTTACANATTCGCCACGTCTTCTTGACAAGAAGAAGTTTTACGATCCTCTCTGTTTCGTATGGGTTACTTTCAGCTTCTGCTTTTCACACTCCAAAGAACTTAATGTTACTTCGTCTTGACTGAGCTTCAATTTTAATGTTGTGTATGGTCTGCATCTGGAGATCTTGCTGGACATATTGCAACATGTCTCTGGAGCTATTTAGTTTGGTTCTCATTTCATTCTGGTTGTTTCGCAAATCATTTACTTCGTCTGTTGCTCATTGTAATGATTTCTTTGGCTCTGTATTTTCTTCCTTTAGCAGCGCTAACTGGGTCTTGAGGTCTTCAATTAGAGGACAAAGAGTCAAGAGCTTGTCAAGCTTCTGATTAATTTCTTCAAAGCGAATAGCGCTTGTCTGATCGTTGTCTTGGTCAACTTGGTCGCCATGTTGACTGCCAATCATGTCAGAATCGTTAGTTTCTTCGTCCGTTTTGGAGCTGCCTCCTCTTTGACGTTTCCTACTTCTTCCTCTTTTGGGCTCATTAGGTTTTCCACTATCTTCAGGCATTTCAATGATCAGCTTCGGTATCGTGGTCACTTGTTACTCCGCCATTTCGAGGAGCAACGAAAAACACGTCTGACAACTAGCACGTTATGGTAATTACCATTGTGCTTCTGCTGTGCCGAACTAAATTGCAATTTGGCTCAACTGTAGCACGGCAGGAAATCAACTCTGATTCAGACATTGTGCCAGAGTTGAATCAGTTTAGGGTTTTCTGAAGCCTCGTAACAATTCTCCTCCTAACTCCCGTCGGGGAATACAATCTCACCAAAACACATTAACATAATTTATGAATTTAGTTTGGCGCGACAGAAGCACAACGTTTGAATCACTGTTGTGCCAGAGTCATGTAGCACGGCAGAACTTGTCGAACTTAATTGCTTGCCGAGCTTAATTCAAAAGTTTGATTCAGATGCCATGCTTCTGCTGTGCTTTTGTTGAACTTAATTCCTGAATTTATTTCGGCACGACAGAAGCACACCGTCTGAACTGGGCCTAAAATTCTTAATAGTGAATGGATTATGTACATAGTCCTGCTTCTATTATTTCCTGCAACCTTAAATTCAAACAGGGTTTGGTTTTTGGAATTGAGAAGGTTTTTCGTCTGTACCATGCAGAGACATGATTATTTATTATTATTTTTATTAATAGCTCTCATTTGAAAGATCCATACTCTAACATGGTAGCAGGACAAGCTACGCCAAGTGGAGTTTTTGATAATGATGATGAAGACAGAGACCAAGATTTCACTGTAAAAAAGTGTTGCAAAACAGTGGTTGCCATACCTGACAGGTTAGATGTATAAGATCAATTGAGCTAATTGTAACTATAAGCAATGTAGTTGCATCATGGTTGGCTCACTGGACTCCAGGTTGAGCAATCTAGGTCATTATGATGTGTGGGCAAGACACAGGGTATGAGAACATTTTTTACCAGTGAAAAATTGAATTGCAACAATTCACAACCCGGTAGCACAGACCAGAGTGCTGAATTGCAGTGTTTGATGATACAGATTCATTTTCATGGCAATAAGAAGATCATGGGAAAGTTGTCCAAGGCATATTCATTTATAAGGTGGCTAAAAAAAGTGAGGTTAGACACACAACATTTTTTTAAAAAACACCATAATGATTGAATTTAGCACCTGAGATGCTCATTTACTTTTGGTTACTGATGAGAGGGTACTTGTTGGGTGGAGAGGGCACTTATTTGGGATAGAATGAGTTTGGGATGGAATGAGTTTGAAGGATTTTAATGAACAGTAACTGATACTATAACTCAAGAACTGTAGCAAAAGAGTTTCTCATTGTCATAGCATCATTTGTTTCCTCAACATTGCGTTCAGATGAGAAAGTAGACTAATAGCTAGTTGACTTGTCTCATTAGTCAATGTTATGTCAATGTCTTGAATGTCAACAGTGGCAGTGTTGGAAACTAGCATTCTCCCACTCGCCAATGTGGGTGTTAAAAGTGTCGTGCAAATACAAATCATTGATCAATTTGTTGTAGTCATCTTTTGGTTTAGGTCTTTTAGTAGAATTTTTCATTGATAGGAAAATGCCAGTCTTTCACGTGTCAACAAGCTGTTCACTCCTATGACTTGATTCTATGGATATATGCGAATTTGGTAGTGCCAGCTGTTCATTTAGCTGTTTTTCAGTTAAAACTATGGAAATGTGGAAAAAATTCCAAGGCGTGTCAAAAGCTGATGATAAAAACGAGGATAAAACAGTAAAATTGGTCCCCAATCCTAACAAGGGGTCTCATAAATGGAACAGAAAAAGAAAGGTCAATGTGAAATGGCAAGCTGGGCCTCTGTAATTAAGAGATACCAGAGAAACGTATGTTTGTGAATTATTGCAAGTATTTTTTGTGGGGAGCATCCTTCTGGACGAGTGAAAATTACACCGGGCAAGTGGATTTTGAGAGTCATTCACCCCAGTGGTGAGTGCTGTAAAAATTTAGTTTCCAACACTGCAGTGGGGATACCTATTGGAAAAGGGTACAAATTAGAATATGGGTACTTATTAAAAATACCACTCAGAGACACTTGTTAGAAAGGAGGTACTTCTTGGAAGGAGAGTGTTAAATCAAATCATTGTCAGTCTGTTTAAGTAGGTGTCCCCCTTCCCCTTTGTAGGAAACTACTGAGGGGAGATGTCTGTCTTGGCAGGGGTGACTGCTTATGGGACACTGTGCAGGAGTAGTGCCTGTTTCAAGGCTGTCATTAATTTTTTTGAGTCAACTGTAGTTATGATCTTCACACCTGTAACAGACAAGTTTGTTACCTTTTGCGTGAATTGTATCAACTGTAGTCCAGTTCACCCATAACATCAAGGGCCCATCAAACATACTCAAGCATTGCAGGTGTTATGGGTTACAGCCCTTGTTGACAGCCCTGTGCTTAGTGGAGGTGTGTTCAGTTGCACGGTTCTTTTTACTTGTTTGTTTGTTTTTGAATTATCGTCTGTTGTTTTGAATTTTCCAGCCCCAGTGGAAGAAAGGTAGACAAAAAAGGTAAAAGACCCCTGGAAACCAGATCAACTAGAAGACGATATAACGAGGCGCACAGTGATGCTGAAGAAATAGAATGGCAATCAGATGACGAGACAGACAAAATGCCCAAGGCAGTCAGTGAGTCAATGTGATATTTTCATTCTGACTGATGGTTGGCAGCTGGAAAGGCAGCTGTACATACCAACTGGACTCACAACTAAGTCGGTTTAATCCCTGTTTTAATGAAATAATACTTGATAAAAAGCCTTTTGTACTCCAGCACCACATGAATTTCTTTTTCAGAACTGTCCGGCAGCCCAGCTAGACGAAGATGTCTTAATATAAAGCTTCCTATTGTTCCAGGAAGGAAGAAATGGAGTGTTGAAGAAACAAAGTGGTTAGAAGAAGGAGTGAGGCTGTACGGCGAGGGAAACTGGGCAAAGATTCTGAGCAAGTATAACTTTGTTGGGAGGACATCAGTTAATCTAAAGGATAGGTGGCGCACTTTACAGAAGAACAAATGATGCTGGAAAGTACTAGATGATATGGTAACATATGAAACTCATTCTCATTCAAAGAAAAATCAAAACTATGTATTTGGGTCCGAGCTAATGTTAAACAGGCCAACAAGTTCTTGTTTTTAGGCAACTCTTTTGTAAACAACTATACAGAATGGTTTGTTTGTTGTTGTTTGTGAGAGAAAATTCTAATTATGTTCTCAAATGGTACCAAAGAAGTTAAGACTAATCTAATTACCACTAGATACTAAATCTAAAGAAATACAATGTGTTAGAACTAGGCAGCTCAACAATAATCAGGCTGACTCCTAGCAATCTTCCTTGTTTGTGACATATCTGACAATAATGACCATCTGCCATTGAGTGATTACAGTCAAACCTGTATTTAGTGGATCTGTTTGGTACAAATACTATACTTTTAGCAATGTCAAGTATTTTTGACATATTTTGATCGTTTTTTGAACTTAATGTCATATTGAAAAGGATCTGCTTGATGACACCTGAAAATTGTACCCACCCCCCACAATTTTGTCTGTCAGTTGACCACTCTGGAACTTTTAATTTTTATCTGATTGTGTACATTTGGGATGTAACATAGTTGATATTTGTCACTATTTTTTCCCTTTGTTAAGGTATTTTTAACTGAATGATGACAGACTTGCCTCCAGTTTTGATATATTGTAGAACACTATATAATTTGTACTGAAATGTTTATTTGAGCATGCCTCGAATAAAATAATATTAATATTTAGTATTTGCATAAACTATGTATATTTTTGGTTGTCCAGTGACTATATTGCATGTTCTCTGACTTTTCCAGGTTGAAATAATTTTAAGTGTTGGAATTTTATTGCACAAGACTTTTCTAAACCACTTATAGTCTAAAGATCTTTGCATCTTTTTTGTATTTTAATATTATAATTATTATTCTATATCTACTGATTATTATAGCAGTGATCAATCAAGTAGTATTAAAAAAAGATTTTTACTAGACTACACTTTATATTTATCAACTGACTTATACACTTAACACAATTCAGTCATGTCTGACATCATTATTGGCAGTTCAATGATACTAATCATGCAAAACTGGAAAATTTCTAACATGTAACTTGACTTTCCTATTAAGCTGCCTATAGAATACCCTGGTATTTTTCCTCACATTGGTCATTCAGCTCATAATGTAACACTCTTCTCTAGTGGAAAGAAACATCATGTGACATTCAAATAATATGCCTGCAAAAGAGACTATGTTACCCCTCAAACAACAGCTACAGCTAGGATAGAAGTAACTGGTTCAGAAATAAATCAAAGCAAGCACACAAAAATGGGGATCAATACTTCCTAACCAATTCTATCTTTTTAGCTAAGAAATATATTTTGGATTATCCAGTGCTTGCAGCTTTGGAGTTATTGGCAATGACTAGAAATATGTTTAGATGGCTGTTGATTTTCAGTGCTCACTACTCCCAGGCAGTCTTTCAATAATATTGATGTTTTTTTGTTTTTGTCAAGTAGTGAAAGGTCTTCAGAAAATCTTCAACTGATCCTCATTCATTAGTCACATTTCTTTTATAAGATAGATGTATCTTGGCATTAGTTACCTTAGTCTTTGTAGTATCACTGTATATTTTTAGCAGTCTTGCAGTATTAATTTTGGCAAACCTGTAGGGTAACTCAAAATACAAATGACAAGTAGGAATGAACAGCCATGATATCCACTAAAATATCTCAATATCTAATATCCTACCTGTTTCTTACCTGGAAAAAAAACATGAAGTGTTTCCTCACAGTTAAGAGGATAATTCAATCAAGAGTACAATAAACTATGACAAAGTATTTACAATTTTCAAAGTGGAATTAGGATGCAAATTATGAAAATATTAAATAATTGAAAATATAAAGAAATGTTATTTCTCTTTCCACCTGTGTTTGGAATATTTTCACATATGGCTAATAAATGGATTGCAGGATAAAAACCAACCATGGAGATCTAATTCCCAGTGACACTAGATGTGAACAATGCTGCCACAAGTTTGTCGTTTAACCTAGGGTATCCTCAGAGCTTGAATAATTACAAAAGGAGCTTTGTATCAAAAATATGTTTGAACAAAAAGTGCAAAGACAGAACACTGGGAGAATTCAGTGTCGTTTTTCTGATACACATCTGGGTTGCTCTGCATTCCTCGTGAATTAAAGGTCAGTGCCCTTCAGCTTGAGACAATGATCATGGATGTAGAAACAGGAAATTTCATATCCTTTTTAAGACCCTTTTGTAATTTAACTAACAGTGCATTTTGGTACGTATTTCACTTGGACTTCCTTTAGGGTTTTCCCGGAAAACAGGAGACATTTCAGAGAAATGGTGGTATACCCAGGGGGCTTTGGTAAATGGGGCCACTGATTTTCTTATAAATTGATATTGCCAAACAGTCTTGATATTGGTATGAAAACAGAAGAGAAAGGACAGAGACTAAAAGAACTGAGAATTGTGTTTTGACAAGACGTCTCCACACAAGTGTATCACTGTTGATCATGACTTTTTCAGATTTGGGTGGCCCTGAAAAGGGCCGGTGTGTTGTTGTCATTGTTGTTTTGTCTTGTCTGGGTATGTTGAGCACTCGTCTTCAATATCTTGGTCTTGTTGTCCTCCAACCTCGTGGTCTTTTAGTTTATGTGTTTTTTGCTGTACTTTAGTCTCTGAAGTCTTCTGTCTTCTTGTCTTTAGTTCAATTTCTTTCGAAGGAGATCAGTCCATTAGCTGGCATCTCAAACTTCTATGGGGTACTGGATTCGGCTGTCAAAGCGGTTTTGTTTCTTCTGTGAGGTGATAGTCGGTCTTGAGTTGCAGTCCTTGTAAAAGTCCTATACTATTTTCGGTTACCTAAGCTGTCGTTGTTTCAGTCCCTAATAATCTATTTCCTAAGTTACAAAATACGTCTCTCAGACGCCGCATTTGCCTTACGCATGCAGGCGCATCTTAAACCTAAGGAGATTTCTAGTTTTCTACTTCTCTTTTAAAAAAATCTAACTCGATCAAACACGTACAAATAACCAACAATTAAATGAAAAAAGCAAAACGAATATTACAGGTCAATATTGCCTAAGCGTAGTGAACTAGACACGATTACAATTTGAAAATTGGAACGTATATAAATTCTTCTCTTATTTACAAATATACAAATTTGTACAAAATCTACAAATTTGTCTTAACGTAAGCTTAAGCTAATGTCTTTTCTTATATACACCAAGAAAGCGCTTTCACTTTCGGTCTTGTCGAATGGCATTATTACGACTCTACTCTCAGCAGCATTCGAAGATGTTGTGACATCGCTGCGATATCCTCGTCGAAACTGTGCATGGGAGAACTCATCCAGTGTGATGGCGGTTTAGGGAGTACGCTTGGTGGCGGTGGACTGCTAAATTTCGGTCCTGCGTACGGAATTACCGACGCGTCAGTTCTGTTCTCGCTTCGTCGTCGACGTGGAATGTTGACAGGAGTCGCAAGTCCCGAATCCAAAGCAACCGAAGTAGATTCTTGAACCGATTTAACTTTAATAGAACGGTCATTTCGGAATCTTGGACTCTTCTTTGACTTATTTTTGTGATGAACACTGTCCTTATTCGGCAAAATTCGATGGCTTTGTGCCACTGGTGTTCCGAACGTCATTATTCGTCACGGTTTGGTTCTGAAGCGATCGCTGCTGAACGGTCAGTTTTTCTCTCCTTGTCCGATTCTCTATCTTTGTCCTCTCTAATTTTCACTCTCCTTTCAACCAATTCTTCTTTAAGCCGCTCAAAACAGCGAAAAGGAAGAATCAAGCTGTTCCTTTTCCTCAATATGTCTCTGTCAGCAATGGCAAAGCCAAATTACCAACTCAAATGATGGCTACTGTGTTTCGCTTCCTCTATTATGATTGCCTCATGAACCAATCAACCTAGTTCCTTACGTAAGAAGTGCCATGGCAACAGCCAATCAGCGTCCATTTACTCTCCACACCCTAATCATGTGACAAAGAATGACGTTTTGAGATGAAAATGGGATATGTTCTAATTTTAGCAGGAAGGGGGTTCTCTGTTTGTCTTTGGGTTTTGTTTCGTAAAACTGAAAGGATTTATAAATTGGGATAGTGCCTAGAGCGAAGCAAACTGGTTTATTCTCCTAAAATCATAAGAATGGGAAAGATGAATCTCCTTCTTATGGTCTAAGATTAAAAGCGGATGTGTCGAAACGCATCGTATGTGTTTTGCATACAAATGTCGTTCGTTTCAACCGCGAGTCTAGCCAAAGTAACCCCATAAAACGGAAGATTTCTGGTCAATGTCTTGTTATTCAGTGGTTTGAGATGCTAGTGCTTTACAGTTTAACACCAGTATTTTTGTGCAAAAAAAACAGCATCATTCCGTGGGGTGTTTTGATTTTTAAGCGCAAAGATGATTAGTTCGTGAAAACTAAGGAACAGGCAGATGTCACGCGCCAATCGTAATCCGTCTTTGAAAACAAAGGGCCTTTCTGATGTGCGAAAACAACCCTAATCTGGATGCATGCCTCGCTCTTTGCATTATTCATGCCTTTCACCATCAGTGCGCCTAATGTAAATCGTGATAATATTTCGTTGTGGAATATTCCACAAGGATCGAGAAAACTTCTAAGCCTTTCTCCCTAATTCTCGTTTCCCGGGCCACAAACATAAACAGGAAATGTAGAGGAACTTTTCTTTCGTAATAATGATTCTCAAACCCAAAACCGTACTCGCTATGGCTAATTATGCTTGGTAGAGCCCAAAAGAGAAGCAACATTCATTTCAAGAGCTGTTGCCTTTGAGAGCATTTTTCCGCCCCCCTAGACCGGAAGTGAGCTTTAAAAGAACTGATTTCTCTCAAAAGTAAAATATAAAGGCGGCCATATTGGTCACATATTCTTTTTATCCAGTCGAATTTTATCCATAACATGTCTCAAAGCAGCATACCAAGGAGATAAAAAAGGAAAATTAAGCCTTGGCGCACTCTACACCGGACGAAGTTGAATTAATCCACGGCGACATACAGCTGAACAAAATCACGATAACTTAAAAGCGCATCCGTTAAATTAAACTTTTTGCAATTACTTAAAGGACTGGGAAGTGATAAATCATTTTTTCCACGAATAAAAATCCTTCAATTCAACGATAACTTCTCGCTATTCGGAGAGGGAATGAATGCGATCGAGCGTACAATATCAAGTGGAAGTGATTATGGATTCAGTGGGTTGGGACTTCGAGAACTGTCAAATGACGTCACAATGTGATTGACTATGATGTCAAATGTCAACAAAGGCCAGGGAGGTTTTCCATTGATCAATTTCACAAAGAACCGCAAACCCATGTGCAGAGGAGTTCATTCTCGTATATATACATTCATTTTCTACCTATTCCAATTCGATCCGAAACTTTTCAGGGCTGGTTCTTGAGCAAGACCGAATCATTTCTACTGCGAAGACTGGGATTCATTTGGCCGTCGATTTGGGAACCAAGAACAAAACCAGAAGGGCAAACATTTTCTAGGTAGGCTACATAGATGGTTTTAGGATCCTTTTGGTATGAACCATATGTTGTTCTGTTGTTATTGCTTTCAAAAGCGGAGTAGTAGAATGTCATCTCCATAAATTATATAGTATAAGTGATCTGGAAATATGTGAAATGGTTTTGAAAGCAACATTCCTAGGTCTCACAACCCCCCTCTATTACAGTGTAACTTACTAGAGCGATCGATCGACCCTCAAACGGAAATGTTTGTGTTTTCTGAAATTCGTCCATAGGAAACGTTCAATCTGGGCCCAAACTACTGAGTGATAAATGCTTTTCGTAGAAGATTCTACGGCTGCTCAGAAACAAAATTAAAAAAAAAAAAGATCGCGCGAAAAGTAGCGAACGCATCTATAGAAGAGAAAGGAGCGCTAAGCACGACTCGATCCTGTTGAGGAACAACAAACTTGCCCCTGTATCGATAGGTGGGTCTGCTTCTTATTCCAATCGGACTCGCAGAGCGGAGTTTATTCTGAAAGAAACTGTCGTGGTTGTTTACTTGAGTGTCGATGACGTCTTGTTAGTTTCATGTGTTATTTCATCGCATGTTTGTATCAGAGCGCGATGGAGTTCACTTCCCTACGACCGAAGTGAATATTGACTCAAATCACGTTTTACCGTATGGTCGCCCGCCAGGCAAAACAACGAATTTTGTCTTAAGAGGGACCCCAGTTCAATCGGCAAGTGCTAACTCAATCGTCCATCGATGTTTTGTCCAGAGGTAGATGTGTTTGGTTCCTATATGTTCAAAGACGAATGAATCGACCTTGGCTAGACCATTGTAGCTCAATCGCGCAGATCGAAGCACGGAAAGGCAAGGCACTGTGGTTCCGCTGAAGGCGAAAAGCTTATAGCTGGCGGCGATTTAGACCTATTCCAGCGTTCATTATCGTAGGCAGAACAATTGTTAGTCAAAGAATTCCGAACCTAAAGAGAATTAACTCAACTTTTGAATTAAGTTTCTAACATTTCAGGACTGAAACATGCCAAGTTTTCGAAAATTTTTCGAGGCAAGGTTAAGGGGGAGTGTTATGGAGCAATTTTGTAACAAATCTATTTGCATCAATCCTGAAAATAGATGTTTAGTGATTCACAGAACCCTGTAAGGGCGAAACTCTGAAATGAATCATCATTTTCTCTCTGTTCTGCCGAGGAAAACCATATGCAAATTTTTGCGGTATTTCCGAGTTCAGCTGGGTGATGTTATTTCTCTCTCATTTTTCTTGCAATTGCTATGTCCATCACTTTACAGGTAGTATTTCTCTCAAACTAAATGGCGTTTCAGAGGAAAATCAAGGTTTGCGGAAATGTCTAAAAATGTTTCAGCCAAAAATTTCTTTGCGGGGAGCGTTTCATGCTGTCTTCTTTCATGCATAAATTACAAGTCAAAAGGAATTGTTTGAAATGACGTTGTGGTTCAATCATTTTGCTCTGACAATATTGCTGCTGAGGCGTTTCACGTTAATTTCAATTTTTATAACCTAGGTTTATCTCTTGGCTATGCTATCTTTCCTTGACACAAAGAAGTATTGGAATCGGTGATCAAAGATTCGATCCGAAATCGTGCGGACGCGCGTCCGTCACGCCTGGTCGCAACAGTGGTAAAGTAGCGGCAAAATCAAAAGAAGAAAAGAACTCGCTTTGTAATGCTACGAGTTGGTAAATATTATATTAGAAGAGCTTCATCGTATTTTTCCATTGAGGAGGTTTGTTTGAAAATTTGATTAACACCTAAACATCCTGGTCGTGGCATGTATAGAAATCATTTCTGTAGTTTGTCAGGGGTGAAAAAAGACGTCCAAGATTTTTTGGCCCCAGATTCTTTTAGTTTGTGGTTACATTTACCTATCACGTTTCACTTCTTTGTCTGCGGTTCCTCTGTAGGCTGATTACAACCCTGGGGTTTGCTCTTGAAAAATGCATGCCCTTTCCACTTTCCATTGGCTTATCTTTCCTACTTTGAAATTCTCTCTGTATCTCCCTGTTACACTAAGATAACTTTTCTCAGATGTATTTTATTCACACGACATACCTGAGGGGTGAACTGGGTAAAGCTTCAGCAATTTTTACAGTCAACAGAATAAAAGTATTTTTATTAAACCGAAAACGTTTTGTGTTGCCCTAGTTCTTTGTTTTCTTTTATTTGGAGAACTAAAGCGGCTGTTGAGTATGATTTATTTACAATTTTAAGATTCCAATGGGTTTTAAAAGTTCACATATTTTTGATAAGGCACTTTGTTCTTGTTTTATCGGACCTTGACAAATGATACAAATCAGGAAAAGAATAAGCTGCTACAACGTAGCAAGTCAAGTTGAGTAAGTTTATCTTGAATTTACTTTGAGAATAGGCAACAAGAAAGGTTTTGGTGCAGTTTGCAACCATCCCAGTAATTTAACCCACACTGACTTAGCACTGGAAACCTAACAAACAGCTAGGTGCAGTAGACATTGACTACAGTTAGTACTGATGATGAATGTGAGAAATTATAGCATACTACAGTGATGTTCAAATGTTTCCTTATTCACTGTCATTTTTCAATATGTTTCTACTTAAATTCAAATCCTTTTGTGCAAAAAGCTGTATAGATAACCGACAGCTGATAACAAATTTTTGGACTAAGACCTTGCAATACCACTGTTATACAACCAAGGGCACGCTGTGACTATTACTTATACAGCTTCTTTCCCATATGGAACTATAACAGACTGGAACTGTATTCCCTTGCACTAAGAGCTCGAAGTTATCCAATAGTTTGGAAGCGTCTCTCTGAATAGTCTTGGCTGACCATAAAATTGGCATGATGGTGTTGTCATTTATGGATTATTTATTTTTAATTCTTTTTTTAGAATTTTTAATGTTTTATTTTTATCAAGTAGTGAGTTTTGTATTTTATTTACATTTATTTATGTATTTATATATAGAGGATAATACATGGGTGCACGTAGATATGGAATTTCTCTTTGAGTGTTCAACTTGATATCTTACGAGTAAGCACAGCGAATGAGTGAGATATTAAGATGAACACGAGAAGAGAAATTTCATATCTACAAGCAGCCATGTATTATTTTGTTTATTATATAACCATACTAATGACGACTTTTTTGACGATTTTCACATGAAAATAACATGTTATTTTCATGTGTGAAGATATCATGTTTATGCGTAAAAGCTCACCTGGTATTTCACTGGTGTTTATATGATAAATCTATTTATATATCTCTTCTTGGTACTATAAAGTGTTGAAGAACATTAATTATAAGTAGATTTAGGTGAATGAAATCAGTGCTTTGACCAGTTCATTTTGTATTCTTTTGTAGGTTTGTTATGATATGGCCAGAGAGTTAATTCCCAGCTTGTCGTCATTTCCTCCTTTAGAGCATCCTCCATCTTCTTGTGGCACTTTCATCAAGGTAATCTTGAGCACAGTGTCCTTATAAATATTTAGTTCTTCTAAAGGTGAACTAGCCACACATCCATTCACCGCTTTACTTGGAATTTGAGTTCATTTGGCCAGGATATATTGGGATTTTGCACACATGGTCTTAAACAGAGATTTTAGGGAGCTGGGCTGTGTTTTAATAATATTTTTATTTATAATTGTATCTGGTTCTGTATAACAGTCATGCAGCTTTTGATACTTATGAAATGCAAGCATCTGAAATTTATTAAACCTAAACTCTTGAACAGTGATTTGTTGGCCATGAGTTAATGATTTTAATTAGTTTTTGACTCAAATCTTGATCACCACTCAAATGTATTACTCAGTGAAACTTGTGCAGTCCCCAAGATTTGCTTCATACTAATTTCCACTCTACTTTCAGTAAACATCTTCTGTTAGTAGGAATTGTGTCTTGTTTTCCCTGAAAACATTCTACCACATGTTACCATTTAGCTATTTAAATTTGAGATATTTTACAAGTGTGGAAGGAGTCTGATGAAAATTGAACCATGAGTTGATATAAAATGTTTTCTTCTTTAGAGAGATATCAAACCAAGTTGTGGTCCACAAGTGATTGACCTAACAAGTGAGAGTTCTTCAACTACTATGTCGCATCAGCCATTGAGGCACATGCCACCTTATCCACCCCACCCCCACCATTCATCGGCCTTCCACAGAGTAAATCATCCACATGGCCATCTTCCTGAAAGCCATGGGTGAGTGATCTATGAAGCTCTCTTTTTCAACTTCAATATCACTCCTACATGTAACTTCAGAAGTATGTGGATGACCTATTTTATACATTGAACACAATCAACTTCTCATTTCAGGAGTTCCTCAAGTCATGCCTGTCCCTTCCTTCAACAACAACAGCAGCAACAACACCACCACCCATCACATAATAGACTATTCCATCCCCCAACAAACAGCAATTTGTGTCCACTCAGTATGGGGTCAACTGTACCTCTACAGCACCACCCACCCCACCCTGGACCTCCAGTTATTATCGATGTGGATCAAATGCCAGATCATGTTAGAGCAGTACCAGTAACAAGTCTACCAAATTCTTTATTGGTTGCAAGTGTGCCTGTCGCAGCACCAACATATATTCAACCACACCATCCTCATCAGGTGAGTGGTGTTTACGTAAGGTAGTTATTCAAACAGGCATTCCTAACCACTTATTAACCTTGAATGTTCAGTCTTAGGGGAAAATCTTGCTGTATTGACCGAACAATAGCAACGTCTACAGCAAGGCCAAGGTTTGAGATTTTCCCATAAAGACTGAACTATCAAGGTTAATAAGTTGTTTATTACGTTGTTTTGCAGGCACGTAATCGGTCCATGAACATTATGGGGAATTATGCCCTAGAATTAGCCAATCAGAGTGCAGCTTCTAACACAAGCTATATCATAAGAGTTTATCTTGGCTTAGCTTGACAAATAATCTAATGCAAATTTTAAGATTCTTCTTGATCAGTACATTGTATGTGATTTCATGTTCTGTTTTGTTTCATCAGATGGATGTCGACCCAAGAGGAAATAATGGAGTCAGTACCCACCATCATCATCATTATCACCACCACCACCACCATCATCATCATCATTTTGTGCAGCCACCATATCAAGTTCCACAACCACAGGCATATCACCCATATCCTACACCTGGAAGCATGGTGAGATATGATAAACGGGCAGGAGGCATCATCTTTGATGTATTTAGTGTACCAAATTATTGTAAGGCAATTGTTAATGAAAACTGATGTTTTGAACTTTTAATTGAGACTTCCTATATTCTTTTTCTTAGCATCACAGGCACTACCGAAGATGGCACCAGAACAGTTCATCACATTCACCTTGGCCATCACGGCGTTCACATCCAACACCTCCACCTCCACCCTTGCACTCTGGAGTACACCCTTACCCAGATCTACTGTATCATTTAATATCTGTGATGTCAATGCAGCCAGTACCAACACAGCAACCTCCTCCTGCCTGGGAAGAAGAACTCCATCCTCGTGAAAACTATGAGGTAACCATTCGACTTGTAAAATTGATACCTTTAATTCTGTTGAAGTTTAACCTTTGGAGATTCAGTGAGTATACAGAAGGTTTAAATAGGCAGTTAACTGTTTCAGTATTAAGTGTTTTTGTCTTAAACTTCCTTGCAGACTCTTCTAAACTTTGCAGAGCAGATGGGGGAGGTGAAACCTAAAGGTTTGTCTCGTGTAGAAATTGATCAACTACCTACGTACCGTGTTACAGCAGGACCAAAGGATGAAGAGGAGGACAAAAGATGTGTGGTGTGCTTAGTGGATTTTGAAGAGAAACAGCTTGTCAGGGTTCTACCCTGTCTTCATGAGTATCACACAAGATGTATTGATAAATGGCTCAAGGTAAGGAGATTGAGGAAGAGCTAATGTCTTAGTACATGTAAATTTTAAAAGTAATGATGGTCAGTTGGTGGGTGAATTCATATTCTGAGCTTGGTCAAATGGAATTTTAAGCAATTGAACAAGTAAATGATTCCAGTGTGTTTTATCTTTTGCAGTCAAACAGAACATGTCCCATCTGTAGAGCAGAAGTGAATGTCAACACAGATTAAAAGATCATGATAAAAATGGATTTAAGTTAAGGCTCAGATGTCCTCTGTAAAGTGGGAGTGAAAGGATAAAAGCACAATTAAGGACAGTGAACAACAGCAAAGCATTTATAAAGCCTTTGAATTGTATAAAGTAATTGAAGCATCTGTGTAGCCTAAAAGGCACTCCACAGTTGTCAGAGGTTTGATATGGAAGTTGCGTGCTGAGACATTAAGATATTCAAGTGGTCCATGTATGGAAGATGAGTTGTGGGGAACCCATCATTATGTGTCTCTCTTTAACAACGAAGCGACATGACACCATCAATGCGAGAGGGTAAAATAACATGTAATGAATGATAAAGTTTGAAACAAATCAATTTGAGAAATACAAAGATCTTGCTAGTAATAATAATTTAGCTTTCAGTGAGCAAATTCCCAAACCAGTATGGCAGTTATTTTTATGCTAATCAAGAAAAGAGGTTGATGTGGGAAGCAAATCAGATTTAGATGTCTTGTCCCATAACTTTAAAGCAGATTTCTTTCCAAAGTTTCCGTGGTTTAATTGCATAGTTACATTATTTGTCTGTGTTAGTTGATTGATGTAGCTTGTTTCAACTGAAACAACCCACAGCCAAATTTTGTTGCCAAAGCCAAAAATAAATGAACTTGATTCAAAATTATTCCATCCATTTCTTTATCGAATGGTTTGTCACAAGGAAAGCAAGTTAATGTCCCATACTGTATGCTTTAAAGATTCATTTTTGTTATGGAGTGTCGTCAGTGTCATTTATATTTGAGTTTGCCAAATCTGAAATCAACGCATTTACACAAGCTGCCAAAATTCTTGTTATGTTTTGACTTTTCTGAGCAAAATTATTTTCCCTTGCCATTTAACGTAAGTCAGTTTGCCATGAGCAAACGTCCAGGGGACAGTCGGTCATCTCTTTACAGAGCTCTTGGGTTGATGTGTTTAGATACTTTTAAAAAGAAATGGATTGAAACTTTTGACCATTTTCAATGTACATGGTAAAGATCAATGGCTTAGGACTTGATATGCTGTACTTATCAGGTTTTAATATCTTTATGTGGAACAACACTAACTCACCACCCTAAAATATGAAAATTATCTGCTTTGTACTGCATAACACTGGGTGAACTGCAGTCAACAGTAAAATGTACTTTGTGTTTCATTATATTCCATACAGAAACCGATTCATGCCAAAGCAATTTGTAAATACATTGAGTTGCTACTCAAAAGTAAGATAAGCTAGGTATGAAAAATTTAAAAGTGGGAAAAAAAATAATTTTTATAAAGTAATGTCACATATATAAATATATTCTGCTGTTTTGTACAAAAGAAATGTATGAAGTTATCATGTACATTTGGATTAATTTGGCTGTGAAATGTTATAGTGTTTTGAAAGAAGGGGCATGACACTTCAGTTATCTAAAAGTGCCACTACAAGTGATTTTTTTTAATCAGTAGGATTTTAAGAATCACAGCCTTTTAAGTCTACTCTGTACTTGATGCAGCTACAATAAAATAACTTTTAAGATAAAATTTAATGTGTGATTGTGTGATTTATATGAGTACTCTGTTGAAAATACACAAATTGGGGTTATAACTTTGTGCAAGTTTCTGATCAGCAAATCAGTGGGAACCATCCACTATCAAACTTGATTAACGCTTGTAGAACACAACCAACAGCCTGATTAAACAAGAATGTTAGTGAAATGGGATTGTTCTTGTTGTCATTTTAGCACGATGTTCATATCTGATGACAGCTTCAAGACAAGGGCTCTCACCTCTTTGAGAGATAGTAATTTAAAGATGATTTCCAGTCCGCACTGCACAGTCTCAGTACCCTAATGTATATAAACATAAATCTCACTTGATGGAATGCAAATCGATGTTATTCATTATGAACCACGTACCTTATCTTTGAAGCCTTTCAAATTTTTTTTTAACAGCTTCATTGATTTTTATAGCTGCAAAGTTGTTTCATCAAGTGATATGAGGAAGAATGAAGCATAAAGCTTCGACCACTTCGCATCCATAATGGGGGTTGTTTTGAAACTTTGAAATTACTTCATGTAAGTAGTTGCAAAATGTTTACATTCAATCGATCCTTTTGATTTTTACTTAGTGGATTTTAATTTTATTTTTTGACTGTATATTTTGTAAAGCGCATTTGATCATATATATGTTAATGTGCACTATAAAAATATTGAATATTATTATTATTATTGTCATTGTTATTATTATTTTGTGATGTCTTACATGAATAAAAACACACACAAACAAACTCTCGATAGTGTGCAGTACGGACTGGAGATAAAGTTTGTTTTGTCTGGCCATTTAAAGGCTAGTTAATAGAAATGCATGTAGTTCACTTGGCGTAATCTTCTACAAACAACCTGATATAATATTGAACCTTTTTTACTAATTAAATAAAGCCAAAATTTCTATGTCACCAGCTTGCAGTCATTAATGGGTAGATTATGGGCATGATGCATGTCTAATTCTTACATATATTCAAAGATAGAAAAACAACTCCCACTATTCACCACAAATACAAATATTTTCATTCTATTATTCAAACAGCTAAAGACAGATGGCAAAAGTTGCTGTTTGCTATAAATGCCACGCTTAACTTCTGCAGCATAGTGACGAAGAACTCTCTATATTTCATTTTGGTAATTTTTTTTTAGAGTTGCCTCATATAGATCTTATGGTTCTCTTTACAGATTTAGTATTTCTTTTGCAAGATGTTTGTTGAAGGAAAGGAAAACAATAACACATTTACTCAGGACAACTATATGTTGAGTATCAAAATAACTTTAATTTACTCAAAATTATTTTCAGCAGATTACATTACAATGTCTGTTAATATTAAGAATCACTGTTGACAAACCCAAAGATTTGACAGTCCCCTAAGCCTGTTAAGTAGTAGTGTTACAATTAAATGCTGATTAATTAAAACAATGTTAAAATTATTTTCACTTCGTAATAATTTCAGCAATAAAATGTAACACTGAAAATTTTTACCTTCTTTTCTAACTTCAACAAGTTCAACAATGCTTTTACACATAGTTAAAAACATTTGATGCAATGTTAAAGTCTATAGTGATGTTAAAGAACAATACTCATACTGGAGCAGATATTCATTGTAGAAAAAAAGAGCGCAAAAATTTTCATTACTATCTGAACTGTAAAACACAGTGTTTGCTGACTAATACAGTGATATTAATTGTATCTGTAACAAAATTCTTGACCGTGATTGGTTCTCAGCCTGCCTATTTGTCATGTAATTATCAGCACAATAATGTGGGTGTTCAATTACAGGTATCTAATTACAACTTTTTGTATTACCTTTTGGAATTGGATACCCATGTGAATCACACATCAATTATGTGCACTCTAATGGCTTTCTTTTCAATTTTTCCTACAGTTTTTATAGATTGTGGAGAGTGCTACTGCCTTCTTTGTTCAAATGAGATTGTCATAAGACTTTGTCAATTTTGAAATTTGTTATAGTTACGATTGATTAGTAATTAGACTTAGTGTCGTACAATTCAGGGAGTCATCATGCTTGAAATTTCAAATTGTCCTTTTGCTTTGCGCTCATCTGATATTACTTTTGCAATATTGCTCCCTGAATTGTACTCCACTCAGTCCAATTACTATTACTAATCATGTTGCAATTAAGATTCAGATAAGACAATGTTTAGCCATGTCTCAAGTCCAAATCAGTGATCTAAAGAATTTGTTTCATCCCTAATTACAGAAAGGTAACAAGAACCAATTATGTTCTAAAAATTTGAACTAAAAAGTGAACAATCCCTGGAAACATGAAATTGTGTGGATGTAAAATGTGTATGCCTTTCTACGATAAATATTATTGCAACACCATTTTATGCTCAGAATAATCCACAGTCAATTAACACAAATTTAAATGGCTGAAGGCTATTGTAAATATATTCTGATACTTAACAATAAATTTAAAAATGGTTTCTTCTCATTGAAAGATCTCAAAAGGGATTTCTTGTTACAATTAAACATGGCCTTTGTCTGGACTGAGTGAGTGAAAAGTAACTACAAAGAATCTCAAATTTAAAACTCTCAGCCAGTAAGTTTTAGAAATCTATAAAAATGTGTTCTCTTTGATTATTTATTTTCGTAAATTTTTATCTACCTTTTAGAGTGAATGTCATAAAATTTACTAAGTGAAAAGGTTTAAAGTGGCAAGCCATCATTCATCAAACAGGCATCTAGATCAAAGTCACCAAACAGATCATCGACACTGCTTGGGGTGGATGTAGACATCATATCATCATCAGCATCACAATTACTGTCCACCTCCATCTTCACCTCACAGGGAAAAGACTGGACACTGCTGTTGAATAAAAGAGATATATTTGTAGATATCAGACAGACAGACAGACAGACAACTTTTATTTAAACACGATTAAAATAAGTTTTAATTATTAAAGCTTAGTACCTTTGCTTTTATGAAAAGAAAATTAAAAGAAATCATTACAGCAGGATGTTGAATTGATTAAAACCTGAACTGTGTACTAGATGGCTCCACAATCTCCACTCGTCAAATGACAGGATGGGTAAAAGCCCAGTTTGCCAGCTACCCATACACATTCCTGACTGGTAACCACTTGGCACATTTTATTTTGCCACCACAAAATCAACAGAAATAGAGAGTTGATTCTAAATACCTCTGTGAAGAGGAGGAGAACAAATCTTCTTGTCCTTCAGACGGTGGGTCCCAGACATGGAGTTTGCGACGCCAATTCTTGATCTGTCCCACCCATGATCGAGTGCTGCACATTTGGAATTTGTCAGGGGTGTTGGGGTCTTCCTTTGTGCGCTGCTCCCTGTGAAACAAGTTCAACCACAAAAATACTCCATTTAACATGAAGAGGAGATGTGAAAGAGAACATCAAGGCCAGTAGACAATCCTCATACGTTTGCCCAAAGATGGGCTGAGACGTTGGTCATTAAGTTTTATGGGCACAGGAATAACCTGACCAGAAATCTCTGCCTCTATTTCTATGTGCAGACCATAGCAAATCATAGCATATTTTGCACCTCTAAAAGTACTCTTGCTGTGTACAGTAAAATTAATAAATATTGTGGAAGAGGATCTGCTTCTAAGTGGTGAATCAGAATTACCTTGACACTGCAGTTATGTAACGGCCATAAGATAACGTGTTCTTTCCAATATCAACTTGCTTTTGCCTTTGAAGCAGTTTATGTGCATCTGTCAGAACAGGTTTTGATGGTTTTGATCGCTGTGAATTCTCTTCTTGGGATTCTGAGAGAAGTAGTCTTCTTTTAAATCTGGAAATAAACAAAACTTGCAATGCTCAAAATGGTGTACTAATGTGCAGTTCCAGAAAATATCCATACTCCCCCCACATAAGAGATTGGAATTTCCTGGGAGGGGGGGGTTCTGGAAGACCAAAAAATTTAAAGAAATGTATGAAGCTTAACTGGAATTTCCAGAGGGGTGGGGAGGTGTTGGAAAAACAATCCCTTCCATTGGGGAGGTATGGATATTTTCTGGAACTACACATTGTCAAAACATATTATTTTATAACAAAATGATTTTGAGCATGAGCAGAAGCCAGGGCCTTAGTTGATCAAAGGGTGCATAATGCTACGCATAAGAAAAATCACTATCCAGTGGATAACTATTGACAAAACAAACTTTGCTATCCATCAAATAGTTATTTATCCATTGGATATTATTTATTTATCAATCCTTTGAACAGCTGGGGCCAGATGTATCACACTGGTCTTGGTCCTCGTAATTTCACTCAACACAAAAACAATTAGAAAGCTGGATTTTGGATTAGAAAATAGTTGCATACCAGTATTGTCAGCTTATTTAGCATGTTCTGAAGAAAGAATGTTTCTCAAATGGAATTTTTACTTCATGTCAGTCTCTGTTGGTTTTAATTTTTGCCCTAGGGTTAAGAAATACCAAACCATAGTATTGGACAACTTACTGGTGAAAACTTCATTGAAGGTATTTCAACTTCTTAAAATCAAAGCAAAGCTGCATTTGCATAGGTACAGAAGGATTGTAATAGGATTCAGGCAGCAGCAACTTCAGGCTGTGAGAAGCCTGAATGATAAATACCATTTCATCTAACATTGTTAACTGTGCATATTTGTAATGCCTTTTATAATGTGCCATCAGTCAGCTTTTTGTTTGTGATCATGTCATAGCAACATGTAACACTGTGCCTATTGTGCCATCCTTATGAAAACATGATTTAATTCTACCAAATCTTGCTAGTCTCTCAAGGATGCCCAATTTGATGTTTGCCTGATCAAAGAAAAGTAATGCTATAAAAAAGTAGCATACTTCACAAAGTGTATAAAGCAGACAGACAGGAATGAGGCAACTGTCACATATGACTGGATAAGTAAGACAGATCAACATGCAATGTACAGAAGCAACAGTGAAAGAAACATGGAGAAAGATGTAGGAAGTGAATGAATGAATGAATGAATGAATGAACGAATGAACGAATGAACGAATGAATACACGAACAAACAAGTGAATGAGTAGGCAAGGTCACATGGCCACGTCTCTTGCACTTCGCTGTCATCACTTGGCACATGCTAATTTATAATATTTTATGTCAATGCTTAACCTTGTAAAGCCACAGGCGCCATTGATTTCCTGAACTAAATTTAATGACAGAATCTCAATTTCTGAAGGTTGTGATTCAAAAAGTATATTTTAAAACAGGACTTAACCGCTGTTTCATTTTACAGATAATGTAGTACCTTGAATTGGTTTTGGCCCCTGTTTGCATTCTTCTGCCTTTTTCTTCTTCTTCCTCAACTATGCTTCCCCAGTCTTTGGTCATTTCAGGGGTGTAACTGTACAATAATCAAAGAAATGGCTTCTTAGGAAAAAGTACTTCTCTTTATACAGCAAGAGCCTCTGCTTTACTACTTTTTGAACATAGCTTGAACACAGGCTGAATGTACTCATTGTGTACTGCTTTAGTAGATTATGTAACCAGGTTACATTCACACTCACAGACTGGAGAGGCTATTTTCCAATCAACTAGAGTTGATCTGGAAATACAACCCAGCCCATTACTGGCAAGAGAACTATCTGTGCCAGTTGAGTATCACAACTGATCAGAGGTATCACTAAGGGCCAGGCACCAGGCAAATTGCCTGCTGGTAAGGATGATTTGGACAATATGGATACCCTGATCTGATGGAATGAACAGCATGTAATAAAAGGTGACTATTTTGGCAGAATAACATTTGTTTAAGATGTTGTTGCACAGAAGCAATTAAAATGTTTCATGTGCCCTGTCTCTTGGCTTTTTTCAGACCATTACAAGTTACAGTGGCACACGGGTTATCTGTGGAATTTTTCACAGGCAGCCAATAAACCATAACAGACGATGTAATGCAAATAGCCTCTATGGGCTACCAAGGGCATTATTTGATGGTGTGTTACATACATGTTAGATAATTTTTCATGTAGCTTCAGAGTGCCACAACAAAATGGCCTTGCAAGTTACAGGAAGTGTAACAGCACCTTAACTTTCAATGAGTGTCTGTATATTTACCTCGACATTCCAAGTGGAGGGAATTCTTTAGAGAGGTTCAGCTCGTTTTGTGTGTTGGACATTGACATTTTACTGTTTTCACTTTTGATCCATTTATTCTTAGAGTTTTCTGGAGTCTTGTTCTCTGAGAGGTTCTCTTTCGAGTTACTCTTGGCAGAAGGAAGAAGGGATATGCAGTGGTCCTCTGGAATTTCTTTTCTTCGTCTAGTAAAGGAACAAAGTAAGCTAAAATTCCTTTAACGGCGTGTACGCAGGCTAACAACAACAAACAAAGAAGTAAGCTTGTAAGCTTTCGAGATGCTTTAACTAGCAAGTCAAGACATTTACTAATGCGATGAAGCTAAACTAGAGAATAGTTTAAGCATCAAAGAGAAATTCAAAGAATGACCTGATCAACCGATCGAACTATGAGGCAACAACACAAGGTGATGTTCATGGAGAGTTAGCTTACGCTTAACTTATATTGGCGGGAAACCGTTGAAGTACAAGTATTCCCTGGAATAATCGAGCAATTATTTGTGCGCGATGACTTCAATATTCTGTATAGAACTTACCAAATACGTTCCTCTTTAATCTCGATTCTCCTAGATAGACAAAACAGCTGAATTACAATTCATACCTAGGAACGCGACTTTCTGGTCGTCGCTGCGTCCTCCGCGAGGAATGACCGTACTTGTAGATTTCACGGGAATCTTTTGAACTGCGCGGTCGCTCTCCGCTGTGTATGCGTGATTCTTTATATTTCTCTAACGATCCAAGCGTTGTCTCCATTTTTCAGTGAAAAAATCAAGTTGTTTTGAATTCTATTCACCGAAAGAAAGCTGTTTGAAGGAGATGAAAAGAGCTTCTATCCGCCGTCTAGAATTGTTTGCGCTCTTTGTGAAATGAATTTCGCGCCAACCGGGTCGAAGAAGGTTCTTTTCCAAATATGGTAGTCTTCTACCAAATTTGGGTAGTAACTTTTTGAGAGCAACCGATGACCGATAAGAGCGTAGATCAGACGCTTCAGCATCCCATAATATTTCGTTTTGCAGCGTGGTTTTGGACAAGAAAGGCGGAAAGATGTCTCGGTATTCAAGACCCCCGAACAGTTCACTTTATGTAAGAAACTTACATCATGAGACCAGGTGAGATCATCAGAAGCTTGATTTCAATTTTGGTGTGGTTTTAATCTAATTCATACGTTGAAATTCACTTACTAGACCTGAAGATCTTCGACGTCTGTTTGGCAAATATGGCCGCATAACCGATGTCTACATTCCCCTGGACTACTACACGAGGGAGTCTCGCGGATTTGCTTATGTACAATATCCTTTTTGTTTCTTTCACTTTTTCCTTTTTTTGGCCTTTTGTGTGGGTTGTATGTCTTGTAGTTCGATAGTATTAGCACACTAAATGGTCTTATTGTACCTTTGGTAAATAGGGCTAAAGAAAGAGTAAGAGCTTAAAGTCCACGAGAAAAAGTCAGGGAAATCGATAAAGATATAAAAGTCGCAGCTAATCCAAGGTGGGAAAGAAGGTTAAGGCTCAAGTAAAAAGAAATAAAGGCAAAGTAAAGGCAAATGAATCTAGCACATTCCAAAGCTCAAGCAAAAAGGGCAAGAAAGGGCAAACATAAGGCACAACTTACAAGAAAAAGTTCAGAGTGCAAGCAAAAACAGCAGGTTTTACAGCTCCAACAAAGGCACAGAAAAGGCTCAAGTGCACATTGAGATTCAAAAGAATAGCAGTAAAGTCTGTCTTCTAAAGAAAGAAAGATCAAAATGTAAGTATCAGGAGAGCCAGCCTTCCACCACCTTAACAAACCTGATTGTCTGGTAGCTAAACGCATTATAGTTACACCAAAAACCAAAATAACATTTTCAGGCCCTTTTTTTCACTTCAGAGTAGCACAAGTAAAGAAAAGTCCAAAGTTTAAAAGTCCAGGGTTAAAAGGACCTCATCAAGCAGCCAAGTAAAAGATATAGTGAAAGAATCTAAAAAGTCAAGTCCAGAGAAAGAGTCTGTTGTTTGCCTAATCAAAGTGCGCAACTCAAGGGTAGGGGAGTGGCAATCTAACAGCAGCAGCATCGTCATCATGGTTTTGTTTCCAACCAGAGTTTAAAGCAGTTTAAAGATTCAAATAGTTGATTTGGTTGTCACCTCAATGGTAAAAGCCCATAGTTTGAGAGCATGGTCCAGACAAGGACAAGTTTCAAAGAAAAGTATCGCAAAGCATAAAAGATTAAAGTTTGACAAGTCGTAAAAGGTGTATCAAGAAATATTTCTGTCAATCCTGGCCTCGGTATTTCAGTAGCTGAGCCAAGTGCCAAGTTTTGAAAGAATGCCAGAACTGTTGTAAGTATTTGTGCATTATTGTTTATTACACAGGTTTAAGGTTTCCTATGTTCTTCTCTCAACTTTAGAAAAGGTATTTGCTGCTTGTTAGAAGAACAGTGTTGCAACATATCAGATGTTTCTTGCCAAAAAAGTTCATCTGTCCCTTCTTGCCACTGTTCATGGCTGTCTGTAAGTTCTTAAACTGTAACTATCTCAGCTGCATGACTGACCTACTCTCCCCTCCCTTTTGGTAACCCTGAACATCTTATTAGTCTCTGCTGACTGAAAAAATGTTTGGTAGCTTGATTACTTGTGTGAACCAAGGAATAGCACTTTGAGAAAGAACATGTTTCAAACAGTTTACAATCTCTGTCATTGCAGCACAATCTCATCTTTTTGGTTTGTTTGGTTTTATTTTTGGCCATTTTGGCCTATCCATATCACGTTGATCTATCTGTAATGGACATTTATTACACAACATCAGTGAGGCTGAATAGTCAAGATTGTCAGAATTCAAAGAGAGACTAAGAGGCCCTTGCATGGAAATTTCATGTTGAAACAGTTACCAAAATTTGTCTTGTTGAGGTATTTTTGCATCAAATAGTGGATGACTTTGCTATAATTTGCATTCAAGGTTTCTTTTGTATTCTCATGGGAAACTTGCTTTCAAGTGCAGCATTTATAGGTTGTTGTTGAATCTACATGTACATGTACCCTAGAAATGGGATCATATCAGAGATCTGCAGTGTTTTGGACTACATGTATTAAACAGTTAGAGCAAGTGTCATGATCATCAAGTGCATGTCAGCAATGCCAGCACCATCAAGCTTCTGGCCTTGGCTAAGCTTGGTAAAGGAAAGGTCGCGCCTTAACATATCATACATTTGAAGATATTCGTGATGCTGAGGATGCCCATTACTACTTGGACAGAGTTGTGTTACATGGAAGGGAACTAGAAGTTCAGTTTGCAGAGGGAGACAGAAAGAGTAAGTCCTAGTTGCCTTGACTATGAAAAGAAAGTATTTCCCAATTAAAGTAACTCCCTATAGTTTTACGATCACATGTGCACTGAGAACAAAGGCTTAAGTAATCTGCATGCATTCAAAGGAAAACGTCTTTTTTTTAATATTTTATGATGTCAACATGGGTGCAAAAAGCAAAACTGACCATGGAATTCTGTAAAATTGGGCAGACTGGTAATACATGGTTTACCTTAGTTGGAACTCATTTTGCAGGGTAATCTGTTTGACCAGTTTTTCCGCAGTGGTAAAAGACATAAATTTGCAAAAATTGAAAAACTGCTTGTACAAACCATACTTTTTACGCATTTAAAAACTTGTATCCTGCTGGATTTAATGTACTGTGAAAATTTTGGAAGATTTCACCCAAGAAAATCAAGAAAATCACAAATAAAGCCATATAAACAGTTAAAAAACATTTGTTTGGGCAATTAAAATTCAAGACTAAAAGCCAAAATTTTAAGAGAGATGATACACCATTAATACTAGTAATACACTATTTCATCATTGCTTATTACATGTACTAAGTTTGAGAAGACTGGGTGCAAAAACAAACACAAATGAACAGCATTCATAACACTAGGATACAACAAAATAAATGATTACCTTATGTAGTCACCTTAATCAAGAAAATGAAATTAATAATGTTTATTATATAGCTAGCTCTGTGAGTGGGCGACTCAAGGAGGCAAGATGGGGCTATTTTGCCCACTTGGGATTACCTGCAGTTTCCTGGAAGATGCCTTATAATTTACTATATATACATTGTTGTATAAGTTAACTCTGTATAACTGTGTATTCCTTAGCACCGTCACAGATGCGCAGCAAAGAAAAGAGAGATACCCATGGTGGGGGTGGTGGTTACAGTAGTAGCAGGAGAGATTATCAAGATGAAGGATATAGGTAACGAATTTGTTAATGTTCAATGCTACATCTTCTCCTGTTGTGAACTATGCATGCTTGAGGTTTCTATTAGCTGAAAAAAGCTCCAAGCAAGTCATCAAGATTGGCATAAAGCAAGAAAGAACAGTCTAGCTTTGTGTAAGCGTAACCCAGTGACTGATCAATGAAACCTGTTTGAGTATTGAACATGAGCCACTGAGTTATTCTAAAGTGCAGTCACAGTGTGACTAACTCCCTTCATTGGTTAGACAGCTTTACAGATCCCAAGATAATTTTTTATATAGGATTGTTTTTATTCTTTTACTCATGTTTTCAGTACAGTTTTTGGTAAATTGACACACTTAATGGAAGATCTTGATAAAAAGTAATGGAAAGACTTCCACTGTTACTTACAGTTACTGCTAGAACACTTGAAATTTGTCATCCAAAAAGCAGGTGCAGTGTTGTAGAGTGATGTAGATAATGGAATTAATATTTCTCTTTTTGCAGTCGTCGCTCCCGTAGTCGAAGTCCAAGGTAATAAAGCACTGTTATTGATTTTATGTCTGGTCTTATTGCAAAGTTCCTAAGCAGCAAAGTCTATTATCTATAAGTGAAGAAATATGTAAGACTCCAAGTCAAAGGGTAATGGAATATGCAACACACAGTCAGAAAGTTTTGAATCATTGTGAAGAATTGGAAGGTGGGAACAATGAAAATTTCTCCTTTTCACACTGAGGTCTCTACTTGTGCAAGGGTCCTTATTGAAATAATATACTGTTGCCTTGAAAATATTTTAAAATTGTGAGCAGAAAAGGATGACCCAACCAACACATTGTATCAACTAGGAATAGGCACCTTGCAACAGACGTTTTCGTTGACGACGGCGACGTGACGACCGATAAGAAACTGGGGATAGAACGGCTTCAGGTTGCGGTCGCGACAGCAAGTTTATACCACTCCATCTACGAGTTGAAGATAAACTATGGTTGAAAAATAACTCGATGGAATTAAACCTTATACTATTCATGTTTTACGAAGAGATGTAAAATCATTGCGAAAAATAACGAAACAATTTAAGTTTATAAACTTTGCCTGCTTTGAAATGTCAAATGTAACGAGCAGAAATTATTTTACATGTAAAACGTGTATTGCTAAAACAATTAATTGCGATTTTTAACCAAAGTTTGTATCACCGCTCATTGAGAAAAAAACAGGTGTATTTTTAGATTGCCAAGATTACATACACACCTTGTTGTGCTAAACATAGATTTTACTGCTAAACATAGATTTTGAACAAAATCTCAGCTCACTACGTTTTTCATTCGACACATTGATCGGCCGCTCAAATACAGGAGTTTTGCCAGCTCTTTTGATAAAGAATCGTAAGCAGCATTCTGCGAAGGATGCAATAATCTTGTATGTACAAGAAATAAAATCCAGGCGAGACAATTTGGTAGCGCGAAGTTTGTCAGCTCTTGTAAACATTAAAAAAATACATGTACACACTGTTCGAATACAAAATTCATTGAGTCGATTAAAAAAGCCTTGATGTTAAACGAAATATCAAGACGAGGGATTGCTAAAATAAAATCAATGTTATTTCACGCTATAGCAATCTACCGATTATACGTTGAGAAAATCTGAAAAAACCTAATTATACTAAGCATCATTACGTTGGATGAAAGCAACCTCTTCGCTGAAGGCGAGTTTGACACGCGGAAAACAATTTTTCAGTTAAAAAATGAGTCCAGGAATACTTCCAGAACATTGTTTTAAACATAAAGGCAATCATTATGCAACTTTACCTGGGTTCGGCACCAAACTAGCTCAAAAGTAAGCTAAAAGGGATCAAAACAAAAGATTAGGTACTCATGTTTTCGTCGCGACGTGAAAACCCACGTTCTCACGTTCTCGACCTCAGGGCAACGTCGGGTCACAACGTGTTGTACATGCGCAGTGACGTCTCGAAAGAAATGTCACGTTTCCGGTTGCCGTCGTCAAGCCGGCGACGTCTGTTGCTTAAGGTGCTTGTTGTATCAACTAGGAATATCTAGGGTAAGATCTAGGAACTTTGGAAGAAGACTTTTTAAAGAGAGATGTGTACATAGTGTAATTCTTTTTAGTTAATTTATCTTCTTTCAGTTTGTTATTTGTAAACGTTTATAAGAATTTTAGATGAACTGTATTTATCATGTATATACTTTGTACGGAGTTTAATGGAATTTATCATGCACGACCCCATAATCTACTGAACTTTACTGAGTGAATTTTTGCTGAGGTAGGCTTTCCTTTTCCAGACGTCGTCGTCGTCGATCCCACTCTCGATCCAGATCACGCTCTCCCAGGCGTCGTGAACGCACCACTCGTGGTGAACGAAGCCGTGATAGTCACCGAGACACCAGGAGAGAAAGGGAACGGGAACGAACACGCTCACCCTCACGGTCACGCTCAGCATCACCCGCGCGATCAGCGTCACGGTCACGCTCCGGTTCACCAGCAGCAGAGTTCAGTGATAAAGAAGAGGAACAGGGTGGTGGACAAAGTCGCTCAGCTAGCCCCAACTGAGTTGTGCGACACTGAGAAATTGTCCCTTCCAATGTTGTCAACTGGAGCGCACGTAAAGTGCATATAGTTCAAACATACTTCAAGAAAGAAAAAAAGACATTTTACTTACACAAACGCTTCAGGGCTTGAGTGTTTTTAGAGTTGTTAAGTGTAATGTTGTTCAAGTACTGTGTTGGAGAATTATTTGTGTGGGGAGTAGAAAACACCGCTTTAATCAGCAATCCTACACGTCAGTATGCGGAAAAAAGAACCCACAAACTAAAATTTTGTTAGTATTAAATTGATGAAGTTTGCTTCAATCGTTCTAAAGTAATTCGTTGTTGTAGGGGCATGAGTGAAGTGAAGTGAAAAAGTAAACCGAAGTAAATAGGTTACTTTTTTCCCTTTTCTGTTTCGCTGGTTAATTTTTAGCGTTTTTCTTCGCCCGTACCACCACACTTTGGAACCCTGTGTGTCGAAAGAATGTTAACTTTTATCTTTATGTTGAGGAATAAATGTTTCATAATTGTTTTAAAATCTTTTATGTTGAATTTATTTCCAATTTTAGTTGACTAGGGTAGACTAAAACATTTTCCCTTCTGTCCTGCTCGAAGCTTTCGTCTTCTACTTGATCTAAATTGTAGCTTACTTTACCATTTACATAAAGAGAGAGAAGTAGGGCAATTGTAATGGCTAATCACAAGGTGAGCCGGTGAACCAATGATATCATGAAGCAAATACACCAACCAGAACGGGAAAACACGCAAGGAATGGTTTTCATTCTGCATTTGATTGGTTAGTAATTTGCAATAGTTTTTATACGCCATCCACAGATTGACTACAATTCAACGAAATATATTTTTTGCGTCCTCTGGGACTCTCAGTCAAGATGGATTTCAATTTTTCAAAAGTACTCTTTCAGTTGAAAGTGGCTCAAACATTCATAGCGCGTAGAGGATTTTGAATTGAGAAAGAGCAAGTTTATAATCGAGAATAAAACTGCGTGGTGTTTGCTTCCTCCCACCTCTTCCAAACCTCTATCGGGGTTCGTTTCTGAACAATTCCACGAAAAGCGAAGGAAACGGGAGAGATGGAATCGAAGCATTGTTTCGAAATACTTGAAGACAATCTATCCTGTTTCAAATACTTAGTCACCAGTTGTAGGTTACATTAGAGATACCTAAAAGAAAATACCCGCACTGATAAGTTTAACATTGTATTTCTAGGTTATTTACTATAAATCTACTAGCGTTCTATCACGAATGCTGTTCTCTGATTGGCTACGCTACTCACTATCTGTTCCGTTGTAGATAGTGAGTAGCGTAGCAGTGTGCTTCTTGGCGTTTTCGGGGTGTCTGTAAAGAGGATTTAGATAAGGTTATGAACGACTAGAAGATTTTTACTAAAACAATTAGATTATTCGCTCTCGATTTCTTTGCGAGATAGTTGACGAATGTCTTTCTTGATCAGTCCTTACTTGAGGCAGATACGTGTTCAGCATCGTCGACATTCAACAACCTGCATGAAAATAAAGCAAAACGACGGTCAATAATTACAATATCACAAAAAGAATATCAACTTCGTTACAAGGAAAATGAAAAGTTACAGTCGACAGTATAGCGTTATGTGACAACTAAAGTAGTATAGCGTGACGACCGTCACGAAACCTTGACAGCCATAGTAACGCAGCAGAGAACTAGGATAATGCAGAGTAAAGCAACGTAACAGTTAAGTTCCGAGTAAAGGCTAGCTAACTTTAAACATATAGAAATATTGCATGCTAGTTTGCAATTGTCCTGGTGTAATAAAACAAGGAGAAGACTTGGTGACTTGGTTACTTTAGTTTCCAGCCTGAGGCCTGTAGTACAGTAAGAACAAAACATCGGAAAACGGTATCAAACCATTCATCACGATTGTACATTGGATTTGTGATGTAAAACCTGGATTTTAGATGTTAACATTGGCTTCATGAGGACAAAAGCTGAGCATTTGGGTGTTCTTAGTCAATTAAAATGGTAACGAGTAATTTTTTGGTGTGTTCATCCCCTTTTATCGGTTTCCTCTTAAGCTTAGCCTGTCAATCATCAAATCATCTTCCGTGCAGATTGGAAGTGCATAAGTTTCATCTGTCTAGATGTTTTTCTTTTTCTAAACACATGTTAAATTTTTAAGACAGTAAATAATCTCTATAAAGATTAATCAATGTAATTCAATTCCTCCGGATGACCTTTTGCAATTCCGCAAAAGAATTCATCTTATGAAACGCAGCACTCTATGATCAAGCCACCCTCTTCGTCAAATCAGCCATTTGCCGCAAAAATCTTGTTTTAGTTTCAATTAGCTTGCAACTGAGGCTAATGCAGGGAGTCGTTTCAAATGCAAATGACGTTAATCTCTTTTTAATGATATTCCCCTTCACGAGTCACCATTGTAAGCTAGTTCCAGTCTGATACCGAGCTGAGAATACGAGAGTGTGGAACTTATTTCTAACTTTTGCTAACTTTCTTTTATTCTTCTAGTTCATGTGTCTCTTGTCTGAACTGAGGCACTCGTTGGGTAAGGCGTTGTCTGAATGTAGTGTGTATCGATTTACATGTAAGGATCCGGTTTGAAAAAGAATAGGGAAAATAGCGTTGTTTGGTTTTAAAGTGTCGACGAGCCGCACACCCCCACCCAAATGTTCCTGGAACACCCCGTTTCGGAAGATAGCCGACTTTGTTAGCGTGAGATGGCTAGCCTGCGTAACAAGCGTTCCCGTACGAAGAGCTTTTCTGCATTCTGGCCGCGCGTAAATTAGAGCGGGAGCCCGCAAAAATCGACGAGGCAGGGGATGGTGGCCCTGCTTCGTCAATTTTTTGCTCTCGCTCCAATTTACGCGCGGCCAGAATGCGGAAAAGCTCTTCGTACGGGAATGCTTACTACGCAGGCTATGAGATGGCAAAACGCCATTTACAACCAGGTTGGAAAGTTATAGCAGTGCGATAGAATTCTTCGTTCTTGTAGCTTTCTTCAATTCAGGGTTAACCATGAGAGAAATTCTCGCGCGTTTTGCCCTCGCGTGCTAACAAACTGAAGATGTTATTATTTGTAAAAATAAATACCTAATGGCTGACTACCTAACTACCCATAAATTTTTCAACGTGTCTGGAAAACCCAAATGGCGAATAGTCGCGAATAGCGAATAGTCCCGAATAGTGCGAATAGTTTAGAATTGTGCGAATAGTGGCGATCAGTCGCGAAAAGTGGCGAATAGTTAACAATTAGATTATGAGCTCGAGATTTCTATGAGGTGATAGTTGATGAGGCCTTCGACCTCATCAACTATCACCTCATAGAAATCGAGAGCGGATAATCTAATTGTTTTAGTAGAATTCTTACTGAAATAAACGTAAATAACGGTTACTAATTATCTTTCTACGCATTATTGAACTTGACGCTTTAGGAAAATCGCTCGCATTGAATTGTCCTTGGTAAATTTGTTGTTGTTTATATATGCGCGCGCATCGGTTTTTTCAATAATTTCAAGTTTTTAAAGTCAAGAAACCACTAATGTCCTTCTTTTAGTGTTCTCAGGAATTTAATTATCCACATACATCTAAACTTTCTTCCAAAACTTCGGAAAAACGATAAAAACTTCGCATTTTGTGGACGGTCGACAGCCACTGCACTCTATAATTAACAATTAGACCCGTAGCCCGCAAGGGCTACGGGTCAATAGCCCATGAGACGAAGCCGAATGGGCTATTGACCCGTGGCCCTTGAGGGCG